CAAAGGCATCGATGGCGGTCTGTATGATCCTCTCGCCGTTGAGAACGTTGTCATAGTTTGCAACAGCGTTGCCGCCGGCAGCTTTTATCTCGTTTACCACTAGGTCAGCAGTCTGTGATTGCAGATCAGCATTTTGTGCTTGAAGCATGTGAAGACTGTTGGACCTTTGTACTAGCACCCTCGCCCTTGATAGATCCTCCTAAATCGTTGACCACGACATTTGCACCCCTGGATGCAAAGAATAGGGCGTACTCTTTGCCAATACCAGCTCCGGCTCCAGTGACAACAACGGTCTGGCCGTCGAACCTCAAAGTTTGCGCCATAATTCCTGATGGCTCGTCTGATGAGATAGGGAGTTCGAAGTAATCACCAAGGCAATTGAGGGCAGAAGCCCCCATTTCATAGTGCTGGCCAGGACTTGGAATTGAGACATGGAATTGGAGTTGGGGAAAGAAATGGCCGAGGTGCCGATGGATAGTAGCCGGCGGAGGCATCAATGCACAACATCTTGAGCAACCCGAGTTTCACAGGAAGACAACCATTCACTGCAACTCACTCCCGCTCTTGACGGTCTCCGGCCGAGGCAGGCATACGGATGCCGACAGGGGTCGAAGGGTAAGAACCATGAAGCCCTCAAGATCTCGGATGTTGGGGATAGCTCCTGGCAAAGAAAGCCGCATTTTCAGGGAACGGGGCATTTGAGAATTCCATGGCGATTGAGGTTCAGCTAACGGGTGTCGGCAATGACTGCGCGCATGCCTTGGAGCTATGAAGCCCATTGTTGGCGACCACGATGGACCGACGAGAATTGCAGCTCACCTGCCATCTGGCACCTCGTCCGCACACGGGTCTGTCAAGATTTGTCCTGTTTGGGGTGGTTTGTGTTCGTACCGGGCACAACACGAAGCGTATTGGGAGCCCACTGATTGAATTGCAGGATCATGAACCTGAAGAACGTATTATTGACGCCAAAAGAGGAGTGTTGGGGGGAGCAAGCGACAGCAAGGTGTGCGTTCAGGACGCGGCACATGGCGTGTCACGCGTCAAGGCTTGGCACGGGGATGGCTTTGGTGTGCATCTATTTTAGCTCCTGCTTTGGGCCACTGCTGTTCACAGTGGTATTTGTATTTTCCTCGCAAGTATCTCTTTAGGGAAGAACACAGATGGGCCGGCCATTCTATCCACTCTTCTTCAGTTTCGATTTTCGGTCGGGACCACTTCGGGCCTGATCCTGGTGGGCAGCAAAGCGGCCCTGTTCCTATGTACGACGATGCTACACCCCAGTACCATTTCGTCTAAATGCATTATCAGGCCTTGAGAGGCACAGTGTCCGCGTAAAGGTTGCCCTGCATGGCCGGTGGATACCGGGCCCCTGTGATCTCTGCAGCCTCGACCTTTTCTCTGATCTCCTTCTCTTCTTCCATAGTCAACTGGATCTTCAAACTGGCCATGTTCTCGTCAAAGTTGTTCGCTTTGGTCGTGCCGGGAATGGGGATGATGTCGTCGCCTTGGGCCATGAGCCAGGCCAGCGTCAGTTGCCCGGGCGTGACATTTTTCTTCTCGGCGATGGCGGTGATGGCGTTTACAAGCTCCATGTTCTTGTGGAAGTTGTCTTTCGAGTACCGAGGCATGGCGCGGCGTCGATCTTCCGGCTCAAAGTCGTCGTACGATTTGATCGTGCCTGTAAGAAACCCTCGACTGAAGGGCGAATAAGCCACCACCGCGACGCCCAATTCTCGACAGGTCTTCAAGAGGTCGTTGTGCTCGATCTCCATGGAGAACGGCGAATACTCGACTTGGACCGCGGCAATGTGATGCACCTTGCAAGCCCGTCGCAGCGTTTCAGCAGAACACTCGCTCAACCCAAGGTAACGGATTTTGCCTTCCTTTTTCAATTCAGCCATTGTCTGCACTGTGATCTCGATTGGCTGGTTTCGGTCGACACGATGGCAATAGTAGAGATCAATGGCATCGCCTGGCTCGAGACCGAGGCGTCTGTGGGATTTGGCGCATGCCTCACGAATATAGGCTGGGTCGTTGTTGACTTTTGATGTTCCATCCGGCTGGCGGATATTGGCAAACTTGGTGCACAGGAAGATCTTGCTCCTGTTCCCGGTCTTCTTAAACCACCTGCAGGGCAAGAAGGCGACTAATTAGGACTCGATGTGGTCGTCATCGTCGGAGGAGTTGACTCACTGGCCTAGCAAGTCCTCGCTATCTCCATACACATCCGAAGAATCCCAGAAGGTCTCCCCTGACTCGAGGACGTGGTCCAGAAACTTCATCCTCTGGTCATCCGGGAGCTTTTTCCCATAAAAGATTGACAGGCCCATCAGACCAAAGCCTAGAGCGGTGACTTGTGGTCCACCTTTGCCCAACTGACGGGTTGGGAGACTCGGTGCCATTTCGCTCTTGGTTGTCTTTTCACGGACTCGGATCTTGGATAAGTCTCTTGGTGAGGGAGATTTTTCTTTCTCAGCAACGGGGGGTAATGCCGATAACGAAAGCATTACGGGGGCCCTTTATATTCGTCGCGATGAAGTCAGAGCACCGATCCTCAGCCACTTCTGCCCCTCACCAACGGAGTTAAGCCGACCGTCGCCGTGCTCATATCCCCTCTGTCCCAATGTTTCCATGCCCTTTGGGATCCTTCTCAGAGACAGGATTGAACTTATCTCCATCAAAACCCCACAGATTCTCCGACTTGGGTATGTGAGCAGCGTCCAGCCTGACAACAGAGTTTGATAGTTGAAGGCAAGAGGCCATGTTGGAGCCGCTAGAAGCCTTAGTTCTCCTTCCCGGGGTTCCCTGGTGATTCCGTCTAGGCGCAGGGGTATTTGGTGAGATCTGCCACATTCGCTGGCATATTTCTTCTGCTTGGAACTGCTACATGTTTGCAGACCATTACCAAACTCTTGTCAGACAGCGCCGTTTATTTTCAAACCAGGGTCCCCGACCTTGCCCGACCTCCCCGGCTTGGCTTTTCGAAGGGAAATCTTTTTGTCTGACAAGTAGTTTTCGTCCCAAGTCTCCGCCTACAAACCCGCCATTGAACAACGACAATAATCCACCCCGCAATCCGTAGTCATTGGCAATAAACAGCCAAACTTAGCTTTACGACATCGATTTTTCCACCGCATGCTGACTTGACCCCTACACTTCTGAAAGGGTGGGGAACTCATACTACCAGACTTTGTGCCTAGTCTGTATTATCCAAAACCTGTTCGATTGAAACCCGCTCCGCTGCTTCAAAACAGACTCGGCTCCGATTTGCTTGCAGGCAAGCCCCAATGGCAAGCGAAGCCCAATTCGATGCCGCATTGTAAGCTTGTCCTCCCTCTACGGCTCTCTCGCTCTTTTCAAGCCAGGATATATGACGACCAGGATGAAAGAGCATGAACCTTTCCCAGCAATTAAAAGGAGCTATACTAACTCTTGCTTTTTTCCTTCCCTGTCCGTCGCAGAGACCTCCTCCGTCGCCTCTCCCCGCTTAAAGTGTCGGACAACCTCACCTCGATAACGACGCTCGTGCCCGACCTGACCGAAGACCTCCTCTCCTCCGTCGATCAGCCGCTGACGTCTGCACGGTGTAAAAAAACAGGCCGGGACTACTTGCTGTGCGACTACAACCGGGACGGCGACTCGTACCGGAGTCCATGGAGCAATGAATTCGAACCGCCCCTAGACGACGCGACTTACCCGAGCGACCGGGTGCGCAAGATGGAAGTCGAGGCGAACACGGCTTTTGACGTGTACAGGCAGATGTACTACGAAGGTGGCACGGGGTCGGTATACCTGTGGGACCTGGACGACGGGTTCGCTGGGGTAGTCCTGTTGAAGAAACCCGTCGCAAAGGAGGCTGGATGGGATAGCATCCACGTGTTTGAGGTCGATGAGCGCAGGGGCAGTGGGAGGACGAGTCACTACAAGCTGACCAGCACTGTCATCCTGCACCTGGGTCGGGAAAGCGAGGGATTGGGGTCGCTGAACCTGGCAGGGAGCATGACCAGACAAGTCGAGGCTGACCTGGTGGTGGAGAACGTCGGCGGCCAGGGCAAAGACGGCGGCCACGTGTGCAACGCCGGCAGATTAATCGAGGACATGGAAGGCAAGATGAGAAACATGCTCCAAGAGGTATATTTTGGCAAAGCCAAGGACGTCGTCGGCGATCTGCGAAGCGTGGCTCCTTTGACCGGCGTCAATCGCGACAGACAGGCCCAGAGGGATGTCATTTCCAGCATGGGCGGGAAGTGAGCGGACCTGGCCGACAATGGCTTTTGGCAACCTTCCCGACCAAAGGAGGAAGTGAGTGAGTGAGTGAGTGACCTCTTGTTATGGAAAAGAAAAGGAAACGAGATGTCAATGATGAAGAACGGTCTCCTCCACCTCTCAAACCTGAGTCTGCGTCTGCATCTGTTCCTGTTTCTCAAAAGGCGCTCGCTACTCTTTTTATTCCAGAATCTCGCAACACCAGGATCGTTGTTGAATCGAAGGGGCGTCCTGGTCGTCTGGGGCGTCTTGGGCATCATACTGTATGTGTTGATTCCACCCATAAGACAAGCGAGGAGAAGAATCGATTGCATACCAAGGTATGCTGGGAAAATTTACCTGCCTACCGAGGAACAAAGAGAGAGCGTTGTTCCGTTCCGTTCGTCCTCATTTACCTCGTACATGCTACCTCGTCGCGGTTCGTTAAAATCCTTGGTGTAAGATTGTTTCCCAGGCTATGAAATGCCACCCCAGGGTAATATGCCCCTAGTCTCGGTATAGAATTTTGTAGTTCCCCCCCAGCCACCAACTGTCCGCCATCCTTTAACTTTTTAAAAATTTTTTTTTTCGGACGCATTATGATACCTTTCCTTCAATCAATCACTTTCTTTCTCTCCTCATAGAGCCACGAAAGTGTGGTGCCAGGCCGAGTCTCGAGTCCAGTCCGAGGCGCACTCTGCCCCGACGGCGGCGGGAGGGAGAGACTCAATGTCACTGTCACTGTCACGGTGTCAACGGCTCCCTTCTTCCCAAGGACGACGGTAGTTTCGCTGACTCCAGCCGCTGCCAATCGTCGGGGATCCCCCGTGGGGTGGAGGGGGAGGGGGAGCTTGAGCCTTGTGGGGACCTAAGGCTACACGACCACTACTCGTACTCCGATGAAAGGCACAGGAGGGGCGTTTGGGACTGCTTTCGACGCGGGTGACCGCATCATCTAAGTTAACTCCCGAACTGGGCCTGTCGTCTCCCCCCATAGGCGCACTTCTGTCCAGACCTTGCGTAGAGGAGTGTGTCTGTCTTCCCAGCAAAGACTGACTAGTAGGTGGCGTGTCCAGAGACGGCCGGGCTGTTAAATCATCCGAGGACATGTCGCGACCTGCTGCGATGTCGGGGGTGTATGCATTTTCACACATTGTATGTTCAGAGTTCTGTTGCTTGTGCTCGCGCCCTTCCTGCTGCTGAGGGGAATAGTACAACCCGCCGCCGAGTTCGATGCGCTTGGGGCTGAAACTGAAACTTCCTATCGAGGAGTATTGCGTCGGCTCTGGTGTGGGAATATGGTCGCTCGCACCCGCGTAGCCTTGCTTGATGCTCAGAATAGGCATCGGAGGATCTGGGTCCGGATGCGTAGGAGCGAGACGATGGGGGAGACTATTTGGCAAGGTTTCGGAGACTTTCACAAGTAACAATGGGAAGTACCTCGATGCGCCACCCCGGAGCTGGGAAATTAGAGTAAGCAGCTTGCTCAGATACTCGAAGGCTGTCTCGTTGCTTGGATTTGAGATCTCCGAGGGTTCGAGAGGCACGCACGAGATGACGTCTGTGAGCGTACAAGCTATGTCGAACAGTTTCTCGATCAGCCCTACGCCATGGACCTCCATTGCGTCCAGAGATATGTCTGAGATATGCTCAATCAAGTCCCTAGCGACTTCTATCGGGTATTTGAATGTCATGGAGGACTCGTTGGACGAGGATGAAAGAACCCCATTTGGGATGGAGAGTTGCCAGATCATGATTCGCAACCAATGGAATGTGATCCAAACGTCTGCCATTTGGCTTTCTGTTGTCCTTAACCTTGGCGGCAACGCGTCTGTCAGCTGTCGCTGGAGTTGCAAAAGCCAAGTTGCGGAGCACTCGCTCTTCACTTTGTTCCAGAGAGCCATAAACTCATCGTCAATGCAGCGGAAGAGGCTAATCAGGTACAGGAAGCCAGATATCGCTTCTTGCTCCTCCGAGTCGTTGGGGGATGGAAGCCCGATGGTCGGATGGAGACTAAGTGGGCGGTGTCGTTCCAACGCATATGCTCTCTCGGTGACCAGGAGTAGCCAGTACATTCGTCGCTTATACATATTCTCAACAGGGTCGCCGACTTGATACGACGACTCTTCGTGCATGCCCATCAGCTGCGCCAGAGTGGCGGCTTCACGCAGATGAAACCAACATATATTCTGTTTTTCAAGGGTAAAGTAGCAGCTGAACAAGAAAAAAGACGTCTGGACCGCGCTCAGAGTGGGAAACTCGACGTAGTCGATGGACTTTCGCGCGCGAATGACGTCGTCGAGAAGCATGTTGGCATAGCCGTAGCGGGTTTCAGGAGGCTCGCCTTCGTAATGGCTCCCCGGAGCAACGGCCAAGTTCATGCCCGGTTGGACCATGACAAACGCACACAAGGATCCAGCGAGACAGTACGATTCTGCACAAGTGGCAATCTGGGAGGGGATCGTATCCATTAGGTGATGTCGATTGAGGATTGAAGTCGTCGTGGACATGTTGGAGAAGTAGAAGGCGACACAGTTTTCAATGGTCTGCTTGCTGAGGAGCGCAGCCTTGAAGTCGAGAGAAAGCTTCAGCTCATGACCTGTCAGCTGCGGGGAACTGGCGGCAGAGGGCAAAGCTCGAGGAAGATTCGCCTGGGTCTTCGTCTTCCTCTGGGCGGTGCGGATCTCGGACAGGATTTTGGATCGATTGCCCTTGGGGCCTTTCTTTTGCGGGACGGCGAGATAGGTGCATTCCAGATTGCTCTGGCCGCAGGTGCGGCATGGCTGGCCTCCCGAGCATCGCACTTTGCGTCGATGACAAGCATCACAGGCCTTCTTGATGGGAGGAGTGGTCATGTTACGAATCAGATGCTGATCAAGTCAGAGAGGTCGCGCTCCGGCTGTGTAGTTGTGCGCATCGAATGCTCAGCACTTTTAGGTGGGGAGTCTGTCCATCCCAGTGGATTGTGCGTGAGACGAGACCTCGTTCATGTCTGAGGGATTAAAATGACTGTGCATCTGAAAGCTTTCTCGAGGATGGAGATGAGGTCGAGCTCGTCGCCTGATGGTGGAGGTCCAGACTCCAGAGCCGTGTGAGGTATGGAGTAGATGGTGGTTATAAATAGTGAGATGAGAGATGGCGACCCCGCATATGCTCGCGCGTGCCATGCTTGTCTCCTGAGGTTAAACTTACTGCAACACCAAGCCGAGCACTTGTCCTAAGAAACGAAGGCCTATAGTTGATTTGCAGTCTTTGCATTTTCCGTGCCGGACCATAAGAGCTAGCTAGGTAGAGCAGTTATCTAGCCTTTATCAAACCGCTAGAGACCGCAAGCCAATGCAGATCCTCATCATTCGGCCGGGATGTTTTGAGTGGATATACTCCTCAACAAGCGTGGTGATATCGGACACATGTTGTAAAGAGAGGAGGGTTTTTTGATCGAGTCGAGTGAGCTATGTCGTCGTGTAGTCGAAAGCCCAAGAGGCTTCGAGGATTCCGTTTTCACATTGTTTCGGATTCATATTGTTGATTAAAGCATCATTCCTTCCTGTCGATGTTGCACACGGCCACTCTCGCTTGTTGGCTGGTAATGTTGCCGGGTACTTTCCACCGTGTTGTTCTCGCATTGAAGGCATCTCCTTGTCGATCGTATCTCGTCTCCAAAGGGCGGGCAAAAAGTCATCACCACCACCACCTGCTCCAGCTAAACCTAAGCCCCACTCTCCATTCAGTTCGTCAAACTTGAGCAAGCATTCAAGCCCCATCACCCCAGATGCCCACGACGCCCATTGCGAATCCAATACCAGCAAGCCAACTTCGGACCTTCTGTACTTTGCGCTCCCGGACCATCTCCATCTCGACCTTTTCGCCGTTTACTTGCTGCTCTTCACTGCTATCCGATTCCACTTCGATATAGCTGCCCTCATCACTCGCCGAGGGACTTGACACCCGCAAGGCCTTCACATGTCCGCTCTGCCCGTGACCAGTGGTTCGGGTACGAATACCCCAAGACGGAAAGCGCGAGAAGCCATTGAACCAGTACTCGACACCTTGGCCCCCAATAAAGCTCATAAGCGCAGTCCAGAGCAGGTATGGGTGCCGTCCTCGGGGGCTTGCGAGGGTGTATGCAGTGATGAGAGACAAAGATGAGATCGATGCCAGAGTGAGGATCTGCCGTGTTGATTGAGTCTGGATTGTGGCAAGGGTGCGTGCTGCCAGCGACGCGGAGGGCAGAAGGGCCAGCGAAGGAAGAGTGATGGATTGGAGAGTGTAGGAAGTTCCCTGTCACCAAGTTGTCAGTCGACGTTGGCGAACCAGACAAGGATTGAAGCTGGACCAACGCACCGTCAAGAGACCGAGAGAGATGGTCCCCACGAACTTGGTGATGCTTATCGGGCAGGGCATCGCTGCGGCTCTGCTGCTGTGGGATGGTTGTGTTCAAGACTGGAGAAAAGTCGAGAGGAGGAGCTACTTGAAGAGGTGGACAGTCTCCGGCCGGCGCGTCAATGGCGGGGTCAGACCACCTGGACGCTGTCTTTCAAGCTGAGGAGGGCGGGATACTCGGTAATTTGGACCAGGTTGGGAAGAGATTGAGGATGTTATGGAGGGCGGAAATGGAATGAAAGCGGAGAACGATCTGGAATTCTCGAAGCCTCGGCGGATTAATGAGGTTGTTGTAAAGCTCGAAGCTGCGGTGCCTGCGTCGGTCGGTAGCCCGCCAGGCGCCCGAGTCGCCTTACGTAATGCTCATATCAAGCTGGATCCTCAACCTCTTCCTGTCTTACGCCTTCCTTGCCATTTCTCTCTCCTCTTCCTGGGCCTTAGAACAATAAATTTATGTATTTCTACTTCGTGAGACCCACACTCACTGGATCCCCCTCTGCAACATGCCCGCCTTCAACTCCTTGTACGTCACAGGAAACCCGCTGATGGGGCATGGAACCGCCTGTCCCGCCTCGGCTGGAGGCTTCAGCTTCACGAGCAAGCTCTGCGGAACGGTGTCGCCCTCCATGTTGTCCAGACGACAAGGGATCACGAAGGGCTGGTTTGTCCGCTCGGCCAGCAGGAGGGCGTCCTTCCAGTCCCTACGCAGGTGGATGGGCGTCTCGTGCCGGTTAGCTGTCTGGTGGTAGAATCCATCGATACGGTAGATGAGGTTGCGGATCGCGACGCTAGGCGTCTGTAGCCTGCAGAGAATGTTGCCGCTAACTTCCTCCCGGCCTCTGCCGCGCACAGGGACTGAGTCGCACCGCTCGGGCTCGAAGAACAACAGCGACGCCGTGAGCTTGTACGCCACCGTCTCGACCTGATTCCAGAGGCCGGTGGGGTGTTTAGATTTCTCGGACGCCGCGTACTCGTTGCTGACCCTTTCGATGAGTTCGCCCATCTTGTCCCACTCGTCGAGCCCGACGGGCTCCTCCAAATCGACCGTCAACCGAAAGTGGCGATGAGGCGAAAAGTTCTTGCTCTGGCTCTGAGAAAACGCCTCCCAGACGACGTCTGTATTGACGACGTTCTTGTAGTATGCTGCCGCAACGTCTTCAACCCCTGCGAACTTCATCCACCCGGGAATCTTTGTGGCCTTGAGCTGTTTGCCCGTCCCCAGAGACACGAGAATGTCCAATGGCTTCTTGTAGCCTTTGTGCGCAGGCCAGATCCTGTCTTGCTCTTCAAGAGCACATTGAACCGGAAGATTCGAGTGCAACGCCCCGTCTCTGAAAGGGACTTTCCCTTGCCTTCTGTTCTCTGGATCATCGATCCGCCATTCACGAAAGTATCCTGGCGCGGCGGACGTCGCCATGGCCCTGGTGATTTCGCGTTAATTTAGGCACTCAACCCAGACAATGGGGCGGGGATACACACGCTTCCCACACTCGGGCTTCATTCTCAGGGTTGTCCTGTCGCTCAAATCCCTTGTTGTCCACCAAGTGGTCGCGGTCTGACAGGTCCTCGCGATCATATGACGCGCGACTGTAATTCGTGAAGAGGCAAGGCTCGCCATCACTGGTGCTCGTAACCGCAACCCGTGTTGTTCTCTGCTTACAAGTTGTCACCGATCCGCCGAAGATAGGCTGATCCTTGTCAAAGAAGTCAAGCAAGCTGGCCTTAAGATTCCCGCTTTTGTAGCGGCTTTTGATGAGTCGCAGAGCCATCATGATATTTGCAATTTTGGACTTGTTAACTAGGTTGAGAGGATCTACTTTCCACAGCTCGCCGAAGCGGTCTTTCTTGAAAACCATTTCGGCAAGTTTGAGGAACTTGGCGGACAGTCCAGATGAGCTGGTGTCTTTTGTCGAACTGGTGATAGCTAGTGAAATGATGCCCCCTAGGAGTGGTCAGTTCATTCATGGCTGGGGTCCTGTAAGTACACACCTGTGCTCGTGCCGACCACCAGATCAAAGAATTCCGAAATTGGGAGATTCAAACCTGTCCTCTGCTCAATCTTTTCGATTAGAGCTAGCTCAATGATGCCCCTGACGCCGCCGCCGTCAAGAGTGAGTACTCTGATACCTCCACATCGAGGGTTGAGTCTGGCAATTTGCGGGAGCGAGGGAAATCCCTCTGCTAAGCTGCCATCTGCAGCCGCTCGCTCGGGTTGCCACGTCTCTCCCTTCTGTTGTGCGTGCCATTGAACGGCTGTTGTGCCACATAGAATGCATTCGTCCAAAGCATAATGATAGCTCCTTTGTGGAAGCACCTTGCCGAAGTCCTTTATGCAATCCTCACAAAACCCGTGTCCACAGGGTAGAACATGGTCAGGTGCATATTGAAGACAAGCAAAGCAGGACATATTACTTTTCACAGTTGACCACACTCCATCCGGTTTGTCGAAGTCCTCTGATCTCAGAGTGCCGACGCGTGCGATGGGAGCATCTGGCAAGCTTCGTTCCCGGCCGAGGATCCTGCGTCGGTATGCTGAAGTTCTTTCGAGGGTAGGAGCCCCATGCTGAGCACTGACATTCCACAGCTCCGAGTAGAAGTCAATGAAAGCTTTCTTGATGTCGGCAACTACAACAGACATCTCCTTCCCAAAACTCGACCGGTCAATCGAGCCTTTCCAGATGAGGTTTTTCCCGCTCTCGTGGTGCTCATGGTTGTAAGCGTAGTTGACGCATCTGGTTCCATCGTCCATCCAGAGAGCGCACCTCAGGAACTGCTTTTGGTAGATCTGAAGTCCTTTGTAGCACAGCTCTCGCAGTTCATCGTCAAAGATCTCTTCCGGCTCGCGGCCTTCCCTGGTCAGCAGCTTGCAAGAGTTTTCGACGCATCGACTTACCGAGCGCAGACGACCTGAAGTTGTACGCTACCAAGCCAATAGCAACAATAACCTCGAATTTGGCGAATTTCTCCACCGTAGTTCCTAGATGGCGCAACAGATTTGCTATGTGACCGGGAATGGATATGGGTGTGGGATTGTCTTTCCTTGCAGCGACGTGGAAATCGAATGGTTCATCATATTCCGCAAAATGTCTAAACGCTCGATTGGTCAAGTTGATCGCCGACGCTACGTCGTGCCGGAAGTATGATTTGGATCTGGCTTTTTGAGCTGACTGGACTCCCTCAACAATCAATTTGCGGAGATGCGAGTACTGCTGGTATACGCGATCAGGGGGCTGTCTATTCTGCATGCTCGGGATGTAGCAAATCTTCGTTTGGCGGAAGAAGAGTCCGAAGTACTGGTCATTATCATGTATTTTGTCCTCTGTGCGGCTGCATTGGAAGTCGTGCTTGATCTTGTATGCGGAAAGTATACACGAGTCATCCCAAATCTCACCGAAATCGTTGAACATCTCATTTTTGAGGTCGACATCGTCATAGAAGGAGTCATGATGGTCTCTTGGCCCATTGCGAACAACAAGTAAGGTCCTTGGTGAGCTTCTCCGTACTGATGTCTTGACTGCAGAGACAGCCCACTCAAGCAGCCGCTGCATCTCTCGCTTCATCTTCTGTTCCTCGTTTATCACAAATACAATAACATCGCTAAAAGCATAGAGAAAGCGTGCATAGAATACGTCTGCACTGGTCTTTCCCAACTCCTTAAAGCCAGGGGTCTTGATGACGAGGTCCATCAGGAGAGGACCCTCCATGCCAACAATAGGTTGAGCTTCAGGAAGTCCGATTGCTTCCGTGTGCAGTCTGGATTGTGAAACCTGCGAGCTGATGGAAACAGCTCGAGTCCTGGAACCAACCTGAATGTTGCTAGAGGTACTCCTCTCGGCATCAGTCTTCATACTTCCGGCGGAGAATCCTTCGCAATCTGCATAGAGAATCGGCACATCCTCTTGATTGCCATGGTCGTCTTTGACATGTGCTAACACCTGGTCTCGATACAGATGGACCCCGACCGACGTTGGGCGCGTTGATTTCTTCCCGGACGTCGATCGCGTGACAGGACCATGGAGCTGGCAGCCAAACACCTGGCTCCAGTCCATAATCCCTGATGTCTGCATTTGATCGACGATGCCAACTGTGTTCATTGCACGCACAAGGGTTGACTTCCCGACTCCGGTGTCCCCGATAAAAGACACCAGGCTTGGATACTGTCCAAGGCTGTAGTGTGCACTCGGATTGCAGAGTTTCTTGAAACGGTCAGAAACTTGCAGGATAGGTTCTTCGCCTTGTGCAGTCTGGCTAGCCATAGTCACTCGAAACCACTCTGCTTTTTGATCGAACCGATGATGGTATATTTGAGTGCTGTCGTCAATGCTCGGGGGTATGATAACTTGAATGCAGCCGTCTGCCAAGGCATTCTGCTTTTGATGGGCCTCTCGCATCATTTCAGGCAAGCCCGACATGTGGCTATACCAGCATGAAGAATGTCCCTCGCGGTTGCAATCGGTTGCGTGTCCGCATTCGGCATTGTGGCAATGGTTGTTGCACAGGTACCATCGAGCCGCTTTAAAATCATTGCTGCAGACCGAACAGAACGTCAATTCTTCGATGTCCCTGTGTTCTCCACACCGTACACATCTGAGACCGGATAGAAATGCATGTTCATTAAGGGAAATAGAGGTTGGTGGTCGTAGGGAGTTTGTGCTTGGCCCCTCGGAGGTTATATCCATTGGTATCGAGGTATACAGATCCCAGAACAAGTACTGCGGATTCTGGAACAGTGGCGACGGGCCACAGGGAGTATAGAGTGGGAGGGATTTTGAAGGAGGAGGTTTCGAGTTGGTCTTTCCCAGAGTGGGCAAGATGGCCGCCTCCCTGGGCAGTCCCGATCAGCTCAAGCTGCCAAGGGTGACAAGGAGAGTGAGGGCGTACAAAGCTGCGGCTCCTTCAAAAGGCGGCCAAACAAAACACTCTCTGGCACTTTTGTGTTTGCTCAGCCCTTTCCATCGGTCTCAACGGAGGCAGCATCGACCGATAGTTGCGGACAAGGCCTAGATTTCGATCAGGCTGAGAATGTGGCGTTCCCCCTTAACCAATGAAAGCGAACACAGGGGTGATGACACGATTCAGGGCGCATTAGAACCAGACATGAGCACCAGGAACACGAGTTCCAGGCAACAAAGCTGTCGAAAGGAGGCAATCCCTTATTTGTTGAGACGCCATGTCCAAGACCGCAGTGCGTTCTGAGTCGGGAACCATTTCGATCCAGGTATCCAAGCCCGCCTCGAATCCGACCCTCTCAGACCAAATATTTCAACTCCCTCCCCCCATCAATGCCTCATCCACGTACTGGCACGTTGATAAACAGAGTCTTCGCCCAGCCAGCCACAAGAATTCTGTATTTCTTAACTCAATCGCGACGCAACAATGACAGCAATTGCCGAGGCATACAATTTGGGAGTTGTGCGACCCAACACTAGCGAGCGCGCGAGCCCACGGGCGTCATCAATGCGACATGGGCTAGCGGAAGGCGGTTCAGAGCCTCATATCGACGCTGTTGACCCACGGAGAGAGTCTCAAAACGCGGGGCGGTCCAGCAGAAGCGAGGATTTGATCATACCTGTTGGCCCGGTCAGTCAGAACGGCAACACGTCTCTTAGGTTTGTAAAGAAAAGATCTCGTTGGGGCTGGCGACTGACTACATACCAGGCGACATCTTGGAGAGCGGCATGTTAACATGATCACCTTCTCTTGTGTCATTGGCATAGGTCTCTTCCTGCAAAATGGCAGGATCATAAACCTTGCTGGGCCAGGAATGGCATGGTTGGCATATCCGTTGATGGGGTCGATCGTCTGGTCCGTGCAAGCTGCTCTTGGGGAGATGTCAGCTCTTTTCCCTGTGCCAGGGGCATTGTTCGAGATGCCTTGCAGATTTCTGGATCAATCAATTGGATATGCTGTCGGATGGATGGCATGGTTAGTCCCTTCGTCCTATCAGCAATGTTCCGTCACTAATAGCAACAGGTTTGCCTGGGTTGTTATCATCGCTGCAGAACTGCAAGGAGTGGCAGGACTCTTCCAATTCGGCTTTAACCCGGTAGAGCTTGCAAGACTGCATTATCCCGAAACCTCTTTAGAGTGGGGAACGACCAGCGTCGACCCTGCTGTCTGGATATCGATCTTCCTCTGTCTTATACTGGTTGTCAATCTCATCCGTGTGCGGTGGTTCGGCGAACTGGAGTACTGGGTTGGTGTTATGAAAATGCTCTTTATCGTTGGGTTGATATTGTTTAATATCGGTATCAATATTGAGACGGGAAGCCACTTTCGCTTTTACAACGACCCATGGGGATTCATCTCACGTGGATGGCTAACACAAAGCGGTGCTGTGCGGACTGATGCCTGGGCACACCTCGCCAGCGTTTGGACGGCGATGACATTGACCATCTTCTCTATGATCGGCTTTGAAGCTGTGACGGTCACAGCAGCAGAGAATCGAGAGCTGCGTACGTATGAAGGGGTCAAGATCTCGAGCAGGAAGATCGCGATTCGGATCATCTTGCTCTACTCCCTCACAACTTTCACAGTCGGCTTGAACGTGCCGTATGATGAGCCGCTTCTGGCGAACAAAGACATCTCTGTCCTGGACAATGGTACTCACTCAGCATTCGTCCTGGCTGCCATCCGAGCGGGAAAAAGGTTCTGGCCGAACTTCTTCAATGGATTCTTTATTCTGTCGGCAACTTCCTCTGGTGTCAACTCATTGTACTTGTCGTCCCGGATTCTGCATGCCCTTGCTCTATCCCAAGGTGCATGGCCAAGGTGCTTAAGAAAGCTGCAGGGTCGTTTGAAAGAGACAGGGTCCCAGGGGGTTCCACGCAATGCAGTGTTAGCGAGTTGGCTTTTCGGTTTTCTTGGATATTTGGCGGCAAGTGGTGCTCCATCACATGTTAGTTCGTAACACCCCAGATTCTTGCAAAGCTGACGTTAGAAAGGAACTAGGTCGGCTCGCACTAAACTCGACCGTCTCAATGCTCATCGTGTACGCAGTGATCTGCGTGACATTCCTGCGGTTCAAAACAATGTGAGTGCCAATGCTCCCCTTGATCACGAATTCAAGTTGACGTTTGTTCCCAGTATCAAACTCGCATCGACAGGCCAGTTCCAACAGACGGATTTTGTCGACCCCGAACAGGATCTCAAAGCGTATTCCAGGAAGAAAGATACGAGGACCTATCCGTATAGATCAAACTGGCAGCCGATGCGGACATGCTACGCCCTCTTTGGCAGCACCATGATGATCGTCTTCAATGGTTGGCGGTCGATCAATCCATTCAGTACTGCAGATTTTGTCGCCTCTTACATTAGCGTAAGTATACCAGGACCATGGCGTGAAACAGGAGAAGTCCAGATTCTGACGTGGCATAGATTGTCATTTTTATTGTACTTTGCATCCTCTATCGTTGGCACCTGCATCGTCAATTTCTACCTCGACTGCGCCCGACCCTGAACCTTAGATATCCTGTTGAAACGGATGTCAATGACCCTAAATATGGCCGAGATAAGCTTCGATTTGAACAGAATGATAGCTTGATAAGAAGACTTACAAAGACGGGCCAATGGATTTGGGTATGGCTGAAATGAGGCAACCTTGAGAACAGATCTCTGCTAGTTTGTTCGCGAAGTAGATATATCCGTAGGTCGTGGAAAGAAGTCGTCCAGAGGGATGGGTTGCGAGGTGCTCTGTTGAGGATTTAAGGCGTCATATCGAGTGAGATGGCCCAAGTTTTGCCAGATATGAAAGATGATAACTTCGCTTGCGCTAGATGCTGCAATTTCAATTTCTGGACGTCTGCCGCCCTGGTTAAAAGGACGGAGGTTGAGACATAGAGGGACGTGCTTCGCTTCCCATCCGCTCCGGCTGCTGAATCCGCGAACGAGATAAACATCAGCTTCCTCATTAACAATGACAAAAGAGGGAGTTTGTCCGGGCATTGCAATTCCGCGATGCGCACGATCAATAGATAACTTTGGCCCCGCAATCTCTTCAAGTACAGCTTGAGGGGCCTCTCCTCGCGTTGGGCTTGGGATAATGCTCTCGACTTTCGATCGGTGACTGTGGGCAGTAGCAGCACAGAGGATGAATGTGGTCTGGCCAGAGCTGTGAAAACACGGCAATGCGGTCAAGCCAGTGTCCGATGATTCCTGCCGTATGTCAGTGTGGCTGCGATACTGAGCGAAGCGGGTAGCCTGGAGAGGATGGGTCTGTCGCTTACCACTTTGATCTCCCTCGCAAATAGAAAGGTACGCGAGAGTGCTCCGGTTACGCGTTCTGGGATGTCAAAGAGCCACAACATAATAGTCCCCTCGTCATCAAGGTATTGCGTTCCTACAAGAACTTGATGGCGATCTGGGGAAAACGATATCGTCTGGCGGCGCACGCCGTAAGTTCTACAAAATGCTGACTGCGTCTTCTGAGTATCTCGAGGACCGGCGTCTTGACGATTCAATTGTGGTATAAGTGACTGGCTGCAATAGGAACCTGCCCAATCCTCGATTGTTGTTGAGATAATCCTCAGTTCGTCCGGTGTGGCGACAGCTAGCTTGGATCCATCATGAGAGAAAGCCATACTTTTGGGACACTTATCGAAGGGCATTAGTTTTTCTGCCGGCGCGCCAGCCGCGTCGAAGAGAGAGAGTTGGAAACACTTGTTGTGTTTCTGAATGATGGCAGCAAAGTGAGTGGCCCCGGCAGCTGCCAGTAGGATGTTTTCCAGGAATCGCTCTTGGCGGCAGCGAATGCCACTATTCAACGACCAGCAACGGATTCTATTCCTAGACCAGACGATCAAGTTTGCAGCATCTGGGCTTAGCGCGGACCGTAGATAGAGACTTTGTTGAGCCGAATCGGATTTGGTGTGCTTATGGACTGGGATTTTCGGCTTAGTTGAAGATCTCCAGGAGGAAGCTTTGAGGAATCCGCGAAGGCTCGAAGGCTGCCGAACTGAAGCTGTAGATGGACTTTGGGGGCCAAGGGATTGCGTGAATGTAGATGTCATGCTCACTTGGTCGCTTGAAGAAGCCTCCCTACTTCCAGCTGAGCTCTCCGACAGTTGCGCGTGCTCCGCCAAGGTATTTTCTCTTTCGGCCACAGGGTCACCTGTTTCGGCATGGAAGCTGACCAGTCTTTGCAGAGTGCCATAAATTTCACATATCGGAGTCACTCTTCTAGCTTTCCGGACGAGCGATGCCTTTGAATGAGGGAAGGGACACCAAAAATACACGTCGATAATCTCTTGCCCAATTTCGAGTGCCTGGTAAAGATTAGCGTAAGTTTTTTTGGGAGATGATCGGCTTGCTTACTTCTTGACCACTGGGATCAACACAGTCCACTAGCATTGTGTAGTCGATAGGATGTACATCGCTGCAGTCTAACACATATATGGTTTGTTGAGGTGTTATATCTGGACTATCAAGACTGTGGGGACCAGGCGTATTGGCCCGTGGTGGCAACCACGATCGGATCTGCTCGGACAAGCGACCATGGACATCCAGGAGAGCCCCTTGCGAGTCAAAAACTGCTAGATTGCGGAGTCGGAGATCCTCGACAATCTTTGCATAGAGAGGTGAAGAGGTGCCTGTGTTCGCTGACGACGCCGGCACACTGATAATTGGGCCTATCCAATTGAGAATGTGGTCGTTTTCGCCAAAGGGCGGCCCGGGTTCAATGTCGTCGACGAAATACAAGAAAGTCGACAAAGGCCGTTCCCCATTGGCCTTTTGCAGGTAGTTCCCAAGAGCTCTCCAGTTTTCAAGCAGTCTGTTGAACTCGTCCGTGAGGAGACTTGAATTCGAATACCCTCGACTACTTTCCGAAGGGTCGGGCAGAACGCCAGAGTTCGAGCCATTACTTACGTGCCGGAAGCACGCGGCGATCACCATCAATCTGAAATCCAACAAAACTAGTGCGCTTCGGTAGGCGTATTTACATCCCCGAGCGATGCATGCGATTGCTTGGGGTACACACTTCGACAGACGGAAGGTTTGAGCAAACTGAGATGTCAGTTCGTATTTGGCAGGGTCATAGGGTCAGAACTTACGTTTTCGCGGTCAGGTCTATCTAGGGAAATATGTTCGTCGCAAGAGCTGTCGGACTCGTCCAGGCTCAGGAGATCCTCAACAGCGCCCTCAAAAATAGCCGAACTCCAGTCCCTTACTGGGCCAGGAAGGTCCTCCAACGGCCACCGTCCGATACAAGTTCTTAGACGAGAGGACACCTCCACTCTGGCCAGCGTCTCCTCGGGAAGCCGCTCAATGGTAAGAGCGGCTGTACGAAATCCCGAAAAGAAAGCTTGCTGGGAAATATCCATGAAAGTTCGACGGAGTCTGTTGTCGACTTGTCGCAATGCTTCTGCGGCTCGGGAGAGACAATTGAGGCAATCAAGAAGGTCATCTGTCGAGAGAATGCGTCGGCTTGGGGGATTTAATCGAATGCGCGTGCGCTGAATGTCAAAGATCGTTTTCAATAGGACAATGTCCTTCACGTAGGCTTCATCGATGACTTGGGGATCTCGAAAGCTCTTTGGCCACAGGCGACCAAGGATTTCTCGAATGAGATACGCATGGTCCTTCTTCTTAACCAGCTCTGCCCACAAGTGAGCAACATCGTGTATATGCGGCATGGTTCATGAGGCTGTGCCCGTTCCAGGCCCCAAGATTGCTGCGTACTGGAGTTTCACTTTCGGCAACAAGGCTGCCTTATCGAAGAAACAAACTTTGTGATGATGAGAAGAGCTTGAGCAATTTATGAAGGGACGTTTCCGTGAGAATGAGCCGGTCGAGAGCTTGCGGTCGAGAGGCTAGGGTGATGGGCTGATGACTGCTGCTCACTGTGCGGACTCATAGTCGTTTGCCTTGCGTCTTCTGCCCTGTTGCCCTGGGCGGAAAGGGTTCGTGTCTGTAGCGCCGGAGGATGTGATGAGCGGGAGAGCCACGCCACGTGAGCAAGCCACAAATCCCTGAGCGAGCCAGCTGGCAGCTGTTGCACAGCCCAAACGGTTGGGATGTGAACTTATGTTCTGCTGCGAGGGAAATTCTGTGAGACGTGAAATTGGCGAGGGGCGCCGACGCCACCAACACCGTAAGCCATTGTTCCTTTCTTCGCAGGCAGACATAGGGCATCTCAACGAAGCAGCCATCAGCAGCCACCAGCAGCACCAACAGCGCTCAGGGCAATCCCAGCCTAACATGCGAGAGACCTCAATCCCCTGAAGCCCTGCACCATGCAGGACGCAGTCTCAATGTCCGGTCCAGAGCGTTCTTGACCGGTCCAGGGACGGTCATTGTATCAAACAGCAAAGAGCAACGGCTTTTGCAAGAGTAGCTTGAAGAATGCGGTTTCATCATGGCGGTCTTATACAAGAACTCCTTCGGGCGCATTCTCTCCCCCTTGCGGTCCATCCGTGCAGGGGCACCGCAGCAGCAGCGACGGTGACAACTTTGAAGGATCTCTGAAAGAGATGGTTGCCAGGTGGGAGGAGAATACCGACGGAGCTCTGCGAGGGAACAATTAACTTGTGGGTCACTATGTTTGTCATCAGCTAGCGATGCTACCTATGTAACCACAGCTGCTGCCCGTCGAATAAACCTCATCCCTCAATCACGACATTTAAGGAGAAGTTATACAAGGATCATGTGGAAGAACAGGAAGGATATCTGTTCCTCGATCCGGCATGTTCGATGCTAGCTATGTCAGTCTTGACCTTGGAAGGGCAGTTCGCTATCACTATACTCGACCTGAATACGTTGCTGTGACCGCCGAGGCACCCTGCGGTATCTCTTCCTGAGCCACATACAATTCCAGATAGGTTCATCCCAACAGAAAGGCCTTCAAAGAGAACATAACGGTGAACCAGCCCAGGATCTTTCCTCTCATCCGTTGATTCCAAAGTCACCAAAAAGGCCAAAGACCAATGCTAGTGCTCTTGACCTCCTCTTGTGTTTCCAGCCTCCGACACTCCCGAGTTTCATATTATACAACACCACAAGCTTTTCCCGTCTCCGGGCTATTGCTCACAGCTTCGCGCCCTCCTTCTTTTTCTTCATGCCACCCACGCCCGTGACCTCCGCTCCACTTAAGATGAAGTCGGGATACGCAAAGTCTCCTCCTGGTGAGCCGGCAGAGGTATGCCACGCGCCACCGTCGACGACTAATCTGTCTCCCGTGACATAATTCCCGGCGTCACTAAACAAATATACTGTTGCATCTGCAATCTCTTTTATCGTTCCCCATCGTCCCAAGGGGATTCTCCGCCCCGCCTTTTGTCCCATAGGGTCACCGCCCTTTCTTGCTGCTTGCGAGAGACGGTCCATCCCCTCCGTGCCAGCGATAGGACCCGGGGCGATAATGTTACTGGTGATGCCGAGCGGCCCGTATTCGATCGCCACGTTTGCGGAGAGAGCGTCGACGCCAGCCTTGGCGACAGCAACGTGCGTTTGCATGGGAAGACCGGTGTAATGGATCGTCGCGGACACGTAGATGATTCGGCCGCCCGGTCCCGCAGAATCTGGTTTCGGTAAAGAGGACGAGGAGTTGTGCTTTTTGGCAGAGGCGACCAGGTGGGGCAGGCAGAGCTTGGTGATATTATAGGAGCCCAGAATGTCAATGTCCATGACGGATTTGAAGGCGTTGGTGGAGAGTTGGGATAGAGGCGCCAGGAAGTTGCCTGCTGCGCCAGCACTGTTTTTGCGCCCAATTGTCAGCACGTCCATATCCGCTCGAAACAGTCTCCGCAAAGCATACGAAAGCAGCTATATGAAAAGAGAGAAGGGGTGGGTGGAGTTGTATGACAGTCGTTCCTTACATCAGAAAGTCAATGCCCCCAAACACCCTCACACATTCGTCCACCGCCTTCCCTAGGCTCTGAACGTCCCTCACATCGACCCCGCCGATTCCCAAGACCTTGCTCCCCGCGCGTGCCGTCTCTATATCTTTGGCAACTGAGAGTGTCTTTTCAACGTTGCGGCCGACAATGCATGCATTCGCGCCCAGGTGCACGAGAGCACGCACCTGCGCGGAACAGATCGATCCGTTCCCGCCGGTGCAGAAGACGACTTTGCCGCGGAAAAGGTCGGGCTGCCAGACGGAAGAGAGGTATTCGTGCTTCTGGAGTGGCATCTTGTTTGCGTACTTGTAGGGAGAGACAGAGGGAGGGAGGCAGGTATTACTCCGCGCGTTGGGCAACACGGAGTGTTGGGGGGGCCGAAGGGCGGAATCGCAATTGGTAGGGGGTCTGACGCGACGAGTTGAGCGGTAGAAGGCGAACACTCTGTCAAAGGAAGTCAATAGTGAAGAGGAGGAATGCGACGTATTATACGAGGACGTGCTGTGTATTCTATATAGAACCGAGCACCCGCAACGGCCGAAACGAGTGGATTACTGAAACGGCCGTAAAAGGGCTTGGTAGCAGTTGGACAATAAAGCTGTAGTCCTCGACAGGGGCGGAACCGACGAGACTCCGCGCGGGGAACGTGAATACCGAGGCTGACAAGGCTGAGTCGTGGATTACTAGCAGCATTTTTCCGCCCACGCTGTTGACAGAGCCTTGATTGGAGGTCAGTCAACCCTTAATGAATATTGGCTCCAGTGCTCCTAGATTTGCTCCTCTTTGATTTAAACTTGCTCACTCTCCTGGCTCCCAGTAATTGAGATTTACCCGAGTCACCACATCTCGCAGTTCCTCATTCAGCCCTAACCATCTCTTATTCGAATCTGCCGCCTGACTGCCATTCCTCAGTCCATGCCGGCCACAGTCCACAACGCTGGGATCTGGTCTTCCAGCAAGTCCCTAACTGTTCTGCCAATTGTCCAGAGCCGCAGCATCGGCAACAACCCATTGTGGCTGAGGTATTGGAGTCTGGGGTGGTCCCATACTCAGACCTGTGCCTCCTGCTGCGCCGCCCGAAGCACTCACTCCAGAATTGACATTGTTCGTGTCACCGTTAGCCATAGGATAGGCTCCATTGACACCCCCGGCTTCTTCGCCAAAGACAACATCCTCAGAGCCATCAGCCATGCGCAGCCCTGCAAGGCCCCATCCAATAGCATCCAATTCGCGTTGAAAGAAATCACGTTCGTCATCGTCAATATCATCAAGCCGAACTTCATTCTCATCAACATCATCCTCCGCCTTTGTATCCGACCCTTTTCTCCCTTTCCTTGTAACATCAGGATACCTCCTCTTCTGCCACCAGAAAGTAAGCCCTCTGAGCGCCCACTCGAGCGGCACCGCCTCATCGACCTCCCCCTCAACGTTGGCGTCGTGCATCCCAGCCAACCACTCGTCCCTCAGTTCTGGCCTGCAATGCAGGTAGATTGCCGTGATTACACGCATATTGCTTTGCCGCCATTTCCGACCACAATAGGGGACTTGTAGTTTGAATAGCTTGAGTACATATAAGCGGAGGGTCGGATCTGGAACGCGTAGAACCCGGCGCAAGATTTGTGAGGACTTGAATTGAACGAGAAATAAAATGCGGTGAGATTTTCCCCGTGTCAATTTTTGTAGAACGCGAAGAAGGTGGATTGAGGTTTGGAATTGCCGAAATGAATAAGTGGTGATCGGACTCGTCGGGACAGGGCCAAGCGGGTTGCCAAGCTCGTCGACTGAGGGTCGGGTGAGGGCATCTGAATTTGGTTGGGTCAGTTGTTGTGGATTGTTTTGGTCGATAGTGGGTTGGGCCTCGGAGCGAGCTGTCGGCGACCTCCTATGCCTTGAGATAGGTGGCGGAATGGCTTCATCCCCCTCGGAAGCTTCCGATCTCTCGTCCGGGCTGGTAGGAGACAACGGGGGGTGGTCCGAATGAACATGACAATAATGCCAGACGCTCAGATCATCTCGGTCATACCTGAAAGCCACGAGGTCCTCCAGGTTCTGATGCGCAAAGTATTTTAGCGTGAGCTGCACGTAATTAGAGTCCAGGAGCAGCTGGGTCACGTATTCGAACTTCAAAACGTGAGACACCTTGAACCACTTCAGCAGAAGAAACAGAGCTCCAGACACTGCTTGTTGACTGATCTCCCGAGAGCGGACATTATCCAGATCTTCCAGTGTCATTTCGTCAGGACGGGGGGCCGGCGGTGGCATGGGCAGCGTCTGATTCTGAGCCATGTTGGAACTCGACTTGGTGCGATTCAGTCCACCGGTTTGCGTTGTTTCCTGAGCACCACCATTGCGAACAGCAATGTCCTGGACATTGGTAAGCATCACTTTCATCATCACAATAACCAACGACTGCAGGTCTGGCAGCGCGTGGTGGAAGAAACCGTCCACAGCCAACATACGGGAGCGCAGATCCGGATCCTCAAGGGTCTCGAGTTCTTTCTCTTCCTCGCTTCTTTCGTCTTTCTCTTCTTTTACCTCATCCTTAGTGTCTCCTTTCCACCCTCTTTCGTACTTCATAAACAAATCTCGCTCCCTCCAAAGTTGGCGCATTGCTCGCGTCATCCTCATACGACTAGCGAACAGCTCTCCGGCTTCGATAATGGAAAGAGGTACATCGCTGCCTTCCCACTTCTTGCCCACCATCGTATCCTGAACTCTCGTCGAGCCTTTGCCACCAATATTGTCGCTAGTGCTGTCCAGGGGCGGGTAGAGGAACGGGAAGTTCTGATTGGTCTGATAGTTCTGTTTCTTACCAGCTTTTCCACCAGGCCCAATAGGTGACGGGGGTGGTGAAGGGGCCGGCGTGGCGATGTGAACGGGTTGGTGGAGTATGGATCCTCGAGTTGCTGCGCCGCTGATGCTTGCTCCTAGAGATCCGGGGATGTCACTCCTAGACTGATTCGACAACGGAGGAAGCATGGTCTTTTGCTCGATTTCCAGGGGTATTATTGGTGGCGGCGGGTTATATGCAGGATACTTTGAGGTGATTTCTTGTCTAAAGAGGTGGTAATCCAAAGGAGACGCCGTAAGAACCGGGTGGGCGGCTTCTGCAGAGAATGGATCCACACGCGGTTGCAATATGCGTTTGACCTCTTCCAGATGATTGGAGACATCCCCAAACACCAGTAGGATCGACTTCCAGAACAGTTGTAATGCGTGCATAAGGGGTATGTTGTACAGTTCATCCCATCGTAAACGTGAAATCATGCCGACAAGAAAGACCAAGAAGTTTGGTTGTAAGGAAGAGATCGAACGTCGTAGGGCCTGTCCAGCGGCTGTCTCCATCCGAACCCGGGAAGACTCGATCAAAATATAGAAGCAAGAAAGGCATAGACTAAGCTCTCGATACTCGTTTTCGCCAAAAGCTCCCTCGGTTGTCTCCTCGCCATCGACAGCTTGTGGGGGATGTGACAGGTCGGGAGCCTTCGATGCTTGAATCAAGCAACTGTAAAGGTGGGGAATAACTGAGTTCTGCTCCATAATATCCGCTCCATTGTGCATCCACTGGACCTGGAGGATATTGCATCGATCATCTTCCGGAGGCGACAGCCCTTCATCGGTGGTGACCTCCTTCATCTCTAGTCCAGAGGTGGTGCTCCAAGTACCCATCAAGATGTAGTAAATGCAGCATAGGGCTTCGACTCGCAGATTATAGTCTTCGTCGTCCAAATCATGGACCAGTCCCGAAACAAATCTCAGTCGCTGCTCTTGGCTGACAGCGGTCCATTTTGAGTCATCGGAAATGGATTCTGACCGGCAGAAGAACTTCCATCTCTGTTCGAAAGCTTCTAAAGAGGCTAGCAGATACTGCCGATCCTGTTCAAGTTCGGTGTAATGAAACCACTGGTCAATCTCGCGCTCAAAGTCCTCGGCGTCCTCATACTGAAAGGCGTAGGGGGCCTGCTCAGCTTTGGGAAACTGTCCTACTAACTGCCTCAGCTGCGGGAGACTTAGAGAATCTGTAGGATCTGGCTGTGCCGGCGGAGCTGGTGGTGGCTGTGATGGAGGCGGAGGGGGAGCCGTCGTCGAACCCTCGCGTCGTAGAAGTGGGCGTTTCGGTTTCGTGTCTACCTCATCGACACTGATGTTGTCCATGGTAGTCGGCGCAGCCGTAAATGTACGATAATATGTCGACGAGACCCTATATGAACAAAATAAAATCAAGAAGGCAATACTGGGTAGTGTAATGTGAAGATGGGTGGTAGGTGGTTGGTCGAGGTCGCGACCTGACAAGACTCTGCCAAGCTTTAGTCCGCGTCTTGGGGTGTCGTCGCCCCTGCCACCGACTTGCTACTCATCACCACCATCACACAGCAGAAACAGTGTAAACTAATACTTTCTAAACAGCGCAAACTATTATAGGCATGGTTGAGTAGCTTGTGAGATTGCATATCTTTCTCTTTCTGTTTTCCGCGGTTACAGTCCAATGGTCAACTTCAATCTCCCCCCACCATCGCATCTAATATTACGAACTCGCCGCGCCACAAGGCTATCATGTTGAGGACATGCCGAACCGTCCAAAGCCCGAGTCTACATCCCATTTGCGCTTCAAAGACCGCGGCTGCCTGTCATAGTGGTAGACCATCTGACTTTTAGGCCAAAGCAGTCAGTGTACAAGCTGTCCGACCTCCGTGAGAGCGACATGCGGCTTTTTGCAGAGGCCAACTCAAATGATTTGTTGAAGTGCTCGGTCGAATGGTCCAGAGACGCACCGCCACGCTTTGGAGACCTCCATCAGAATGAAACCAGCGGGAAGGCTCTGTAAAACTAATCCTCCGCAGCGATCGCTGAGCTGATCATCCCCGTTGGCATAGTACGATATCGACTGTGGATATCAGAGAGCCGTTGCGTGCGCCTCGGCATATGATGGCGGCATGTCTCGGTTTTCTAGCTCTTCAGCTGCTGGCTTTGTCGTGGGCGGGCGCGTCCTGCTCAGCAGTGTCCGCTTCGCTTTCTGCTTTTGCCACAAATTCTTTCGCCTGGGCTAGAAGCTCTCTCTTCATTCCGGCCCCTACCTTGTCACTCGCTCGGGCATTGAGCCAGCTGGGATCCAGAGGGCCACCACCTACTCTGGTCAAATTACTGTCTCCGCCCAAAGCTCGGCCTCTTCTTGCGTCTCTGTCATCTCCAGGTCGTATGAGTTCCGCCTCTTCTAACGCATAGACTTGACGGCGGAGTTGGACTTCGATCGATGAGAGGGTAGAAAAGTAGGTCTCGGCTGCTGCTGAAAAGGCCGCTCGTGCGCTGGAGGATGAGCGTAGAGCCGTCTCCTGCTTTTCGGTGGTGGTTGGCGAATTCGACAGAATGCCGACGGCATCAGATGCTGCGGAGAGGAGGGTGGAAATGGATCGGTCGATGTCGTTCAATTCGGCAATACGAGAAGCAGGCGTAAAGGCTGCGGTTTTGCTCGTATGAGGCTGATCAACCTCCATTTCTACGATCGAGGAATTGGTGGGTGGAATGATGTGTCAGTAGACTGTGCATATTCTAAGGCTGCCTCAGCGTGAGAAATCAACCTGACTGACGACGCTGATGTCCAAAGAACCTCCCAAGGGCTGACTCCTAGCCAACGTATGGAGATGGAAAGGGCTTTGGTGTGGTGCCAGGCACGTTTCCTGTCACGGAAAGTTAAGCGAGCAGCGGTCCAGATTCAGCTAAGCGTCACTCACCTCACTCGCCTCAGTATCAGAATCACCAGCACCAACTTCGACTTCGCGTCACTGTCCTGATTTCATTATCGTCTCCTGTGCTGCCGTTATCGACTCAACGGCCCTCTTGACGGATAATCACAGTTGTGCACAACTACATCGAGGTGACAGCTGCCCTTAACAAATCCCAAGTGCATGAGTTCACAGAAACAATGTCGGCGCCCAGCCCAGCGCCACGGAGCGCAAGCACAGGACCGAATGGCCCCTTGGTCACTCCTACCACTGGCTCTTTGGTCAATGGCGTTGCCAATGCATCTGGCTCTGCGCCTTCAGCGCCCACGACTGGTGCAACAGGTGGCTCCAGCGGTGGCATGTCTCAACAGAATCTCAACCAAATTGTGAGCAATCCCTTCCCTGCACTTCTTCCATCTATCTTTGTCCTGTCTTGTCCTGTCGTGTCGTGTCTTGTCGTGTCATGTCCTGTCGTGTCGTGTCCTGTCGCGTCTTGTACGTGATGGAGGGGAAGACGATTACAATTTAAGCCTCGCTGTCTGGGTTGGCCCAAATGTGTGACGGTTCCGGCAAGCGGCAACCAATGCCAAGGTGAAGCAACTTATTCGGTCACATAGAGCCACGAAAGAATGGGTGCGGCGCGGTTCTCTATATTGCGCTCTCTTTAGAAGGACTCGCCCTTAGTGTACAAACAACCCATCAAACAAACCTCGCTTTCTTCTGCCACCATCCGAGGAGACACGCTGGAAATTCACTTCTTTCATCCAATCATCTACATTCAACATGGATCAGAGTCCTAGGAGACCGGGAAGGCCGCCAAAAACCCATCAAAGCAATTCCGGCTTTCTTCCACCATCACCTACGGTGACAGGCTTGGGGCTCGCTCCTTTCATCCAGCCATCTGCACTCAACAAGCATCAGAGTCCTTGGGGGGCGCCAAGGACGCCAAAGAAGCGCAAGCTGGGATTGGCAGCAAACAACCCGTATTACCCTTACGCCTACGTCGAGGATATTCAGAGATATGAAAAGTCGAAACGTCCCAAGTCCACGGATTTTGTAGATCATTTACTTATGCTCTCTCCTGCATGTTCATGTGTTCATCGACAGCTCGCGACGATTGCTAATGACTTTGAATAGGTGATCGACTACCTCGCAAAGAAAGGCTACCACAAAACAGAAGCCACCCTTCGGGCTGAATCGGCAAATCAAGAAGTTCCCAAAGACGCAGAATTGAAACCAACACCTTCTGGGCCTCCGCGCTACTATGAGATGTTTGTACGGTTACAAGCATGGACTGATGACGCGCTCGACATCTACAAACCAGAAGTTAAGCGACTACTCTGGCCTATTTTTGTCTATTCATACCTTGACCTTGTCAAACAATTCTACCCGAAAGAAGCCCATCGGCTGTTTCAAAAGTTCTCGGAGGATTTCAAGAAGGAGCATGAATACGACCTCAGAGGGCTTGAGCACATTTACTTACCAGAACATGGCGAAGATAAAATCGCAAAGATTTACCGCGACAACAAATACCGTTTGTCCCTCAGCAATCCGGCATACGTCTACTTCATGCAGTTCCTCGAGACTCTCCCCCAAGCAGGCTACAGACTCTTCATGAATATCGTAGAGAACAATTTGGACCTACGACAAGTCGAGCGTGCAGCAGACGATCGCTTCAGTTTCGCCTCCGTGATCCAACGAGGGATTGACGGCCAAGATATGCCCGCAGAAGACGAAGGCATCCCAGGTCACAGACCGGGAAATGCCGTCTCCTCAACAGACCCAAACGTCGGAAACAATCTAGCAACCCTCAAACTTGGCAAATTACCCATGGACAAAGATGCCGAAGGAGACGTTCGCGCCGAACTCGAGGAACTCGATCAGAAGATACCTCCTCAGCCAGGTCAGCCTACCCTTGTCCAAACGCATGAATTAGTCAATATAAAGCAAGAAGACGAAGACGAGGGCCCCAGTCGAGCCGAGATTCCATTCCCAGTATCTACTGCTCGGGATGTGGCTATGGAGGTCCAAAAGATCCGCGAAAACCGCGACCGCCTCAAGATCGAGTCTCGCACTGGCGGCATCGGGCCCGGGATCAGCGTGGTAATGTACACATTCCACAATACACACGACTCGATCTGTTGCATGGACTTCAGCGGCGATCAGCGACTGATTGCTGCGGGCTTCTCGGAATCGTATATCCGCATCTGGACCATGGACGGCACTGCTCTAGGTCCCCCTGCACCGAATGGTCAACAACAGAACTCCCAACGTCTCATCGGCCACTCTGGACCCGTCTATGCGGTCACCTTCGCGCCCTCAACAGACAAGCCTAGCCCAGATTCCCCGGACACAGATTCAAAATGGCTCCTGTCGTGTTCCGCAGACAGTACCATCCGCCTGTGGAACCTTGACGTCTTCCAGTGCTTAGTCGTCTACAAAGGCCACGTGGGTCCCGTCTGGTCAGTGGTCTGGGGACCATTTGGACATTATTTCGCATCCTGCGGCCATGATAAGACGGGAAGAATCTGGTCGACTGATAAAATTCGCCAACTGCGGCTTTTGGCGGGCCACGATGATGACGTGGATGTCGTTGCTTGGCATCCTAACTCGAGCTATGTGTTCACTGCAAGTTCAGATAAAACGGTCAGAATGTGGAGCTTGAATAATGGAAATGCCGTGAGGATGTTTACTGGCCACACATCGACCATCACAGCACTGGCCTGTTCTCGAAACGGCAAGATCCTCGCATCGGCAGACGACACTGGAGTGATACTGCTCTGGGACCTAGGACCGGGAAGACTACTTAAGAAAATGCGCGGTCACGGCAAAGGAGGCATCTGGAGTCTGAGTTGGTCTGCTGAATCAACAGTGCTGGTGAGTGGGGGCGCGGACTGCACTGTGAGGGCATGGGACGTTACAGGTCCGGCAAAGGATGCTGCGGCAAGTACCACCACTGCAGGTGGAGCGACCACAAATAAACCAGGCGATGGGCTAGCCACGGCGCAGGCCGGGGGTGCAATACTGGATGGGGCTCCCAAATCCGCCGGAGGTACCAACGCACCGACGTCGAATCTGAACCTCACTCCGGGTACGGTGACTGGTACAGCGGGCGTGGGTGCTGGTGTTGGTACCACGGGTGTCAGTGGTGTTGGCATCGCTGGAATCCAGGGTGGCAAGAGACGTGGTAAGGACGCGGTCGTCACCAGCGATCAAATCAGCGCGTTCCTCACTAAGCAGAGTCCTGTTTACAAGGTCAAATTCACCAACATGAACCTCGTGCTTGCCGGAGGTGCTTACTTGCCGGAACAGGCGAAGTAAGTAAGGGTCACGATGAATGCTACAAGTGTGGTCCCAGAGTCACAGTTTAACTCACTTGGATTCCGAGCCCTGATTGAGGCAGGGGAAAGGCGAGACCAAGCCAAGGTGGTGAACGGTATCTTAAGGACGTGAACCCGTGTCGATTTGGCGAGATATTGCAAAAACATTGGACCTTGAATTGTGAAGGCAGAGACAGATACCATAACGTTGTACCAGTACTTGCATTTTCACGGCGAGCCGCGTCTAAACCGGCGTAGCACGGCCTGCAGGACACAGAATACAACACTGCATCTAATGTAGCTCAGGAGTCAAACGTGCCAATATCGCTTAGGCGAGGAAGGATTCCCATGGAAATCCGCGTATAGTCTTGATGAAGTCCAAGTCTTCTCTCAGGCACGTATGATAAATTGCCTCCAGTGTCCCGTCAACGCACGGGAACCAAACGACCTGGGTGGTGGCGGGAAGGTAATGAGGTCTTTTGCCTTTCTCCTCCAAGAGCGGCGATTAAACAACTATGATTGCTTCCAGCTTGTTATATAACAAACACGCTCTGCTCGATGACAGAATATCGGGACATGTCCAGACTATTCGTTTATGGCCTTAAGCCCTCAGTTATAGTCAATTAACCTCACCCTTAGATAGGCAATCCATAAGCCATAAGCTGAATCCTGTCAATCTCTGGCGCCCTGCCCTGCCTTGCCCGTCAACGCCGTGAGATTCGAGGTGACTACTGGCCTGCAGCTGGCTGCTCAGCGACGACATGGAGAGAAGTCCCAAGGTAGAAGGATGCCGACCGAGCTCTATCCATCCCGATCTGGCATGAGGCATGCCCTGCCTGATATAACGTTCCTTCACACTTCCCCTGCCGGCCTCCAAAAGCAAGCCTTATGATCTGAACATCCAGGCAAACGGAAGCGCTGCTTTGCTCCGCAGCGCGACCAGATAGAAGATGGCCCCGGAAGCAGCTCCACCGAGATGTGCCGCGTGCCCGACAGTCGAGGTTTGGTCCTCTAGTCTTGCAGAGTCGTAAGCGGCGTACAGCACCATCAGCAGCCAGACTGGGATTGGAACGGCGCCGAAAAGAAGAACCTTGGCTTTGGGAGTGGCCAACGACACCGTAGCACCCAGACCCATGACTACCGCCGACAGGCCAAGCGCTCTTGATTGCAGCGAGCGGTTTCGGTTCTTTTGGCGCTGTCTCTGAGAAGCCTGGTACAAGAATGCCGCATTACCCGCGACGGCGGAGACCAGAATTAGTTCTCCATAACGCAGAGGAGCAATTCCATACCAGAGTAGCATCCTCGAAAATGTGGAGAAGGCGAACAAGTTGCCCACGATGTGATAGGTCTGGATGTGGCTAAACGCAGGGGTGACCAGCGTCCACCATCTTTGCTGCTTGACGTCCTCTAACTTGACAGTGAAGTGTTTGAGCAAGGTATCGAATGTCTTCCTTTGCGTGGCGTTTTGTGGCTGCTTTTCAGGGCCCTCTGTCTGGGGAGGAAGGTTTCCCATACTCCAATGCCACGCCGTCCAGATGCCGAGGCAGGCTGCAACACCTTTCCAAGGTAGAAACGGGTTAGACTGAACCCCTTTCGGTGAACCCGTACAGGTGTATCTCAAAGCCTCTAAAGAAAGAACTTACAGGAGTACATGATTGTTCTGCTACCGGGATACCCTCGAAATGGAAACTCCGGCGGCAGCGATCCACCTCTATTTGTTGCAAATCCTCTCCGCCCCCTCTCGAGTCTCTTCAACGGAGATGACTGCAAGTTAAAATTATTGAACCTCATGGTCGAGAGCTTTCGATTCGGGCGAATTAGTTGCCAAATGTACTGAAACCTTGGCTGCTACATTTCAAGTTGACTGAGATTCAAAACCATGCGCGCAGTTCCTCGTAGGGTGATGAGCAACCGTCGGGGGCGGAAAGAAGTGTGATGAAATTACAGTTGAAGTTCGAAGTAGAAGGTAGCCGTCAAGAATCCCTTCGGGATACCTCCCAATCGAAGGTTTGTCGCAGCCTCGCGCAGCGCCTCGCAGCCTTGCCATTAGATGCCTCATTACACTTCAACTGTGGCATCGCTGCCACATGCCTCTACTCCGTCTATAGACGAGTAATTGGTCTGCTGCTTGGACAGATATAAAGATGGTATGCTATGCTGCCTATTTTCCACCTTTTTAAGAAATTCCGTCACGTTCTCAGTGGCTGAGTGCAGGACTTTCTCCACGGTGCATTTATGAATGTCCAAAGCATCCCAGCAAAGGCAACCATGCCGCCTTGTTGGGCTCTGAAGCTCCCGGAGCAGGACAGCATTAATACTGGCTCACATCAAACCAAGATACCTGTATTCTCTCCTGCTATTATGTCGGAGCCCGCCACAATGGAAACGTGGACTCAAGATGAACAAAGTACCAATACTGACAAGCCCTCGCCTCGTCGGATTTTCCCGATCTCGCAAATGCCCGTCGCCAGTATTGAAAGACACTTTCAGGCCCCTTGATCGGTCCAAGAGACCCGCCTCTTCGACCCTCTCCAGGCGTCTCCACTTGGGTATCTACTTCCGACCCATCCCCACTACTCTATCGCTCATGTCTCAATAAACTGCCTCTGTTCGCTACGCTGTTGTGGTGCGAATTCGCAAACAGGCCAGGAGCAGGGCTTCCCTGGCGACTTCTTGTGCGACTGCCACCATGACCATCTAGCCCCGGACTGCCTGGCGGTTGCACACTGGACCCACGAGTCTGGATGCCGCGATTGCGCTTTAAGAGGCGATTTTCCTCTTCTAGTTTTCGCAGAAGCATGTCCCGTGACTTGCATTCCAGTCTTATTTCGGAGATTTTGTCCAGGTGCCGCTTGATGCTGTCTTCGTAATTGATCTCCCTCAGGCGCCGCTTCTCATCGCCAGCTTGCTTGGTTAGGTTTGTAACCTCTTCTTCCAGGTCCTTTACCTGGTTTGCTAGGTCTACGGCTTTGTTCGACGCCTCCTGATATTGAGTCCGGGTAAATTCGAAATCTTTGCGGGTATTTTCGAGGGACTTTTCCAGGCCGGAGTTCTTAGCAAGAAGCGTGCGGGTTTCTTCTCTCGCGAGTTCCACAGCTGCCGCGTCGCCGCCACCAGCTTTGATCTCCTCGCGTACTGCCGCAAGTTCTTTCTGCAATTCTGCAATCTTCTGCCTTAGAGCGGCATCGCTCTCTGCAATTCTTTCGTTTCTTGTTCTACTATTTTCCATGGTTTTCAGGAGTTTCTGCTTTTGTTTCTCCAACTCGTGACACTTGGTCATTCGTTTCTCGTAACGTCGTTGCAGATTTGCATGGTCTTGTTTCCATTGTGCCAGGTGTTCGTGTGCATGATCTCGATCCTGTTCCGCCTTTCGTCGGGCGTCCCTTGCTGTTTCCAGTTCTGCCTCCAGTTTCTTGACATGGTCCTGAAGGTGTGCAAGTTGGTATTGCGCATCAATTCTGCCACTCGCCTCGGCCGAATCTCGAAGAGGCGTAAGACGTTGTCGCTTTTGCAGTGCGGGAAGGAAGCTTTCAACATCTAGCAAGCGCTTTCTGCCCGAGGGAGTGTCGGCACGTGAAGCGGGAGTCCCAGATCGAGCCAGAGCCTCCTTGGGTGTCTCAGCTCTGGTGGTCGCTCCACTACGTTTGGAGGGAGGCTCTTCTAATTCTGTCAATTGCAAGTGCAATTCCGGCATTAAACCCAGTTTCCAATTCGCATCAAAGTTGGGCGAGATGGCGGCCTGCGTGACTAACCCAGCAAGCATCACAAGCCTCCGTTCAAGTCCCTTTCTGATACTCAGTTGGATATCAGTAAAATCCATGGGTCTGCCCTCTGGTTCTTCTGATGGAAGTGGTAGAGACTTCGGCTTTCCGCCCAGATTTGGCCAGGCCTGATAGGTAACTCGGACCAACGTTTTTAGCCTCTGATGGGACGGCATACTTTTCGGAAGGCAGCGGTCGACGTGCTCCGACGAGTTTGCAACCAGTAAATGAAGGACCGGCATGAGCTCATGCTGCCTTTCAGAACGTTGGGATCGAATTCGTGCAACCTGAGGGTCTTGGGAATCGAAAGACGCATCGAAAGCAATCATCAGAACTGGTCTAGGGTAAATGGCAAGCTCGTGCGTCGACCAGGTGCTGACCAGTTCAACCTGAAAATCCGTCGTGAGCCGATCTGGGGTTGGTGACTTTGACCGGGCAATCCGATCTGGTCGTTTCACGATGACCTGCTTCATCTTTAGGTATTGCTCAAGGAGATCCTGGACAGGTCCCTCTCGAGCCATGATAAGAATCGAGCAGTCGGTAGTTTTCAACATATTAACGAGATGTCCAAGAAAGGAGAATTTCGAGCTTGCATAGTTTGTATAAGCTGCGAGTTCCTGCGATTCGAGTGAATGTTGGGTAGATATTCCAGGCAAGCCCAGATCCATATGCGTGACAGTGTCGTGCAGGCGCTGGACCAACTCATTCATCTCGTTTCTTTCTTGGGCTCGATTAAGTGACCCGTTTGACGAGCCAATGGATTCGTGTCTACTGATGAACTTCTTTATGGACTTTTCCTTGGCTTTGATAATGTCGGAGTATGTTGAATTTATCTTGCCCTCGCAGGGAAGTGCTATCGCGTATTCTGAAGGACCAAGAATAGGCAGGCTTGGTTGAACCAATTCAGCAATTTGGATTGCGTTCCGCTCATTTTCGACAGATTGCTGACTCGAGCTTGTTTTGGATTCCGATGAGAACCGCTCACCGTTCGATGTGTGTTCTTCTTCCTCGATGGAGTCTTGAATTGGGAGTGCACTTCCTAAAGTAACGTCATATATCGACATTGGGGCAGCATTGCTACGAACCATCGCGGTCTCAGAGAGTTGCTCGGCTGGTGGGTTGACAGTTGAGTCGGTTGGGAGATCCATGTTGGTAAATGCAGGGTCTTCAGCACAGAACCTTGGTCTCATAAAGGCCGGACGATACGAAGGATCCCAGAACCGTCGCGCTATCTCTTCCACCCGGAGTCCGCCTTCTTCCGGAAGGAAAAAGCTTGGGACAGATCCTCGGTCCAAGGATTTCGAGGCGGATGATAGCGTCGGAGAATGGCCAAAGGAGCTGATCGACGAAAAGCCAAGCAGCTGTTCGCCCGGACCTCGAGGGCGAGGGGATGTTGAGGAAAGGGTAGTGTCGGCCGCTGGTGGTTCAGCAGGCAATGAGGGGTGAGATTCCGGCGACGGTGATACTAGCGTGTGCGCCTCCTCGGTCCGATCCCCAGATTTTCCTCGATCTTGGTTCGAAAACTCCTGCGATACGGGGGCGTGGAGCTCGGTTGTCTTGCTTCTGGATGATCGGTCGCGCGGTCTGACCGACTTTGGCTGGGCCGACGGCTCTGAGGAGCTATAAAAGTTGGCCTTCTCTGAAAACTCTTCTGAAGCTAGTCGAGCAGAACCAGAGACGTTTTTGCTTTGAATGAGTGTCGATGGGACGTACGAAGTGTCCGGTTCTCCGTTGTCCACAGGGATATCTTCGGGGATATCCTGGTCTTCGCTCTCTACAGCGTCTTCTCTCCCTGCGGCGTCTTCGCCCTCTGAGACCCTTTCTCTCTCTGGGTTCCCTTCGCACTTGAGGTTCCCTTCCCCCTTCGGATTCTCTTGGCCCTTCGGTTTCTCTTCGCCGTCTGTTTTCTTTAGGGTCTGGTCACCCTCTGCGGCCTTGTTGTCCTCTGCGGTCAGTTTGGCCCAGTACTCTTCTTTAGCCGGTTCTGTGACTTTGTCGCTCGCCAACTATAGCCCCGGTTAGCGGAGATGCTATAGAAGATCCTTCATGTTCCATACCCACTCTGGTGGAAAGCGCTGCCCAGTCCGGGGGTGATCTGCCCAGAGCACCAGATATTCAAACGTGCCCTTCCTGCGGCCACGGCGGTGGCGCAATATATCCTGAACAAGCCAATAATCCTCCCCTACTTCATTAAACGACTCGTATTCTGCACAAATGCTCTTCCGCTCCTCAAGCGAGGGCTCTTCCACGGTAGGCTTGGGCCTCTTGTGCCTGCGGTATCTGGAAAATGACGTGGTCCCTCTTTTGCGTACCCTTTTGCGTGCAGGCCCGGTCATTATACTCTGTGGACGGAAATGTTGTTGCTGGAGGGATGCATGGTCGGCTTGAGGTTCATGGAGAGCTCACTTAGGCAGACGATGCAATGCGGACGAGGAAGTAATTGACGTCTTGTTTATGAGGGCAAGGGAGGGCTCGGGAACCTTGGTCGGCGTCTAGCAGTGGCTACGATATAGCTTTGGAGGCAAGTCAGCCGAGGGGAACTTAGTCGAGCTAGCCTTAATATGGCTGACATTTGACTCGGTTCTCATACCCATCGGCTCAGTTACCTTTTTTCGTTTAATTATCGTAACATTCTTTGAATTTTGTGATTGGCCGGCTCTTTAGCTCGTAGCGTAGCCAATTAGGGCGTAGCTATGATGTGGGTGAGGCCATTTAGCGCCTTGGCACTTGAGCGTCTACTTAATTATCATCACTATTATTCTAGGGTAGATAGTCATGTAGATACTCAATACGATATCCCCACGTTACCACAACCATCTCTATCATACAAGCTCTCTCCTTCCTCCTTGACGTTACATTGGGTCTGAGGACTGAGAAAAGCTGATACCCTGGAGTGGCAACTGAGGTCGAGAATGAGAGATGCCCAAAGATGCCCTTGTTTATTCTGGAACCAGGAGACTTTGTCCTTTAAGCGAGGCGGTGTAGGCCGGACAGCCACCCAATCTGTCTACTTCATCTATCAACAAAGTGCTCTCTGGAAAATTTCCAGGTCTTTATCGTCTGCTTGCCCTAGCCATTGATCAAAATCAAATCCCAGCTCCTCTATTGTCCTCACCCAGAGTCTCGCTTCACCTCTCTCCACGTACGCAGCCTTGACCTCAGGGAATTTGGACCTCATCCAGACTCGTTTCTGGTCCCATCTCGTCCCCAGCTTCCCTGCGCCGTCATTCTCCAGCCCATCTTTCCTTTTCGCCTGCAGTACCCATGCATAGAGCCCATTGAGCTGCGCCGCATCTTCCGGAAATTTCTGGACGTGGAAGTATTTCCCATCCCCTTTACGACGGACCGTGTCTCGCTCCCAATCTCGCATCTCTGCAGTTGAAGGCAAGTCAAGTCGGTTGCTCCAGACCCGGGCCAAGACGGCGGCCTGGTTCTGGGAAAGCGGGAAAGGAATGACCTTGAGATTGATCACCGGAAAGGCCAGTGTCGGATGGTCAATGCTGAAGAGGTGCTGGTACGTGCCTCTTGTGCGGAAGCCGTCAGTGACCAGCGGCGGTAGCACGCCGGAAAGGAATGGGTATGAGTAGAAATATCCGGTTGCAAACACAACTGCATCGATATGCTTCTCAATCCTGCCACTCTTGAACCTCACTGCTCTGGACTCCCCCTGCTTTGGCGACAGGAACTCCACAACTTCGTCAACATCCTCCCTATACCCACCACCCGGCAATGTCCCAAAAGCCGACACGGATCTTGACGAAAGCAACACAGGCTTCCGACAATATTTCCCAATCTGTGCGGCAATGTCCAACCCCGAAGCAGAGTTCCCAATCACGATGACCTTCTTGTCCCTAAAGTCCTCTGGTCTTCGATAGGCTTTCGAATGAATGATGGCTGTGGGGTATGCAGAATGCCAATCCGCAACGCCTTTGATAGCTGGGACATACGGCACAGTATAATGCCCATTTGCCACCACCACTGCATCATACACGCTTCTGATAGTCTCTCTTGAGAGAACATTCTGCGCCGTCAGGTCCCACTTTTCCCTCCCATTCTCTTGATCCCTTACGGGCCGCACGTTTTCAATTGCCGTGTTAAATCGAATCAACCCTCTAACTTCGTCCGCATACTCTTCCAAGTACTTCAACACAGCCTGGTGGCTGGGGAACAGTGGCTCTTCTTCCGGGAAGGGCTTGTCGGAGAACGCCATCAGTTGTTTCGGGATGTTCGTCTCGAGATAGTTGTAGAGTGGCGATTCAAACTCCAGGGACTGTGAGAATTCCGGGGACCCGCGACCATCCTCGGCGCCGACATTCTCTCGTGTGTCTCGTGTTTGTTGTTGGCCGTATCGCGGATCAATCTGCGGGATTGGAATCCGTCGCGATCTCTCTGGTGGGGAGAGATTCCAGATCCCCCCGACCCGATCACGCTGTTCGTATATGTCGATTGTCGCAAATGCCTTTTCAGCAAGGAGATATTTCGCGCACGAGATTCCCACCGGCCCTGCTCCTATCACGGCAATGCGCGAAACAGGCCATGTTCGTCCCACATCGCCCATCCTGAGAAGCCAGCCAGGACAAGTAGTTCTTCTGAAAATGAGTAGTATGTCTGCTAACGAAGAAAAGCATCGAAAGAAATACTCCTTCTTCCGGGTCTGTCCGGGCCGCTCTATTTCCGATGCCTTTCTTGGTCACGTCATCAACAATATTGAATGCTTCTCGCTGGGCGATAAAGAACAAACATTTCTGTATGTTATTTGTGCGGCACAGAGATCGGAGTTCTCCACCCAGTTGCCGCATTTCCCATGCCACAGCCTTGTCCTTGTACTCGGAATGCGTCGCCCCTTTCTTAACACTGGGGATGAGAATCCGAATACGAACAAGCTTGTTTTCACGTCCCAGCCACACGCCTTTTTTATTTTCGAATATTGTGATCTCCTGCTTTTCCCTTATAAAGGGCCTATTCCTAACGAATCTCTGTGTTTGGGATGAGATGAAATGCACCTAAGGTAATGAAATAAAGTCAGCGACGGCGAAGTACATGCAGGAAGGGGACCCATCAATCTGCTAGGGTCGCTCCAAGTTTGCATCCCTCTCCGACGTGTGCCTGAGAGTACCACTCGCTGGAGCGATATCTGAAAACAGGCAGTCTACCTCAAGGTTGGATTTGGCCGTCCGCAATCGTGTTTGAAACGACAGGGTGCATTCACAAATCTTGGTCACATGGCCCCTCGAACCAAGCGACAGACCGCACAGTCCGGCGCCGTGACGAGCTCTGCCAACCAAGACGAAGCCGCGAAGAACAAATCATACGTACAAGACGCAGACTTACACGTTATGGAAGACACTCAAGTCCACGGAGGTGAGAAGGTCGACCCTCTTAGCGCTAGCCTAGCCGTGGAGACTAGGGGGAAGTCCACTTCCACCACCCTTCCCGCCAGCCTCAACCTGGGTTCCACGTCCGTCAGATTCACGGCGTTCACAATCTCCAGTGCAAGTCCGGCCAAATCCGGAAAACCGAACAAGCAAACCCCTTGTCTCCGGAGCCATCCGGTCCCTCATCCCACTTCATTAATCTTTACTCACGGCGCAGGAGGCGATCTCTCGGCCTCTGCCATGGTGAATTTCTCGCAAGGATTCGCGTCGGCAGGCTCGGCCATCGTGATGTTCCAGGGAAGCATGAATGTGAAGGCAAGGGCAAGTCTATTTGGGCTTGTGAAAGAGCATGAGATGGAGAGCGGATCGCTAGCACGAGGCCTCGACGGGCAGAAAGCTTCCGTGTCATACGGTGGTCGAAGTATGGGGGCGCGCGCAGCCGTGATCGCATCGCATACCGACAGCGAGGTGAAGGCTCTGGTGCTGGCATCGTATCCCCTCGTAGGACCGAGCGGAGACATGCGGGACAAGATTCTCCTCGACCTTGATGAAGATACGGACGTACTCTTCATCTCCGGGGATAACGATAGCATGTGTCCACTTCAGAGTCTACAAGTTGTCAGGGGAAAGATGAAGGCAAAGACATGGAGGGTGATTGTAAAGGGTGCAGATCACGGGATGAACATTCGCGGAGGAAAGCGGCTAAAGGAAGGGACGGAGAAGTTGGGTAAGGAGTGTGGGTGGATTGCGGCGGAGTGGCTTCGGGATCGGGATCCAGAGAAGAGAGAAATGGCGATACGGTGGGACGGCGATATAGGGAAAGCTGAAGGGAGCATGTGGGCCGGAATAGGGACAGAAATGGCGCAAGGCTCTGTGAAGAGAGGAAAGAAAGGGAGCGATGATGGCATGGACGAAGATGGAAGAGATGAAGATGCTGAGAGCAGAGGGAAGAGGAAGAGGACGAAGAAATGAGTCTCTCACTGGTACAGGAGGGGGATTGGATAAGGCATGAGACATTTCTCTGATATCATAATCGTCGACCAGCACTCGTATCCCCTTGAACAGCGGCCTCGGCGCAGCCTAAGTCCACGACTCTCTAGGGGATTGGGAGCTTTGCACCTCTTCTCGCAGGACTTGTCAACGGGGTTGTCTGTATAGTACTTGAACTCCGAAGGAATCACACATTCTGTGACGCAATCTCCAGCAGAGCCGACTGAAGAGGGGCCGGTGGTAACTTCTTGGAATGATCGCTTGTCTCGTCGACACAGATCCGATAGGTAGCAGTGGAAAACTCTTGTAGTGTAATGGGAGAAGTTTGAAGTGGTGGATAGCGTTATGATTGGCTGGGGCGCCGACCCTAGACTATGGTTCTTCTTATATAGTCCTGGGGGACTATCTTTCATAGAATGGACAATCAACCAAGTTACCAACAGAGAGGACTTCCCCTAGTTGAGTGTGCGCGTTTGGAAGAGGCTATACCCACCGCCGTACGAGTTGATGCCCATGGCTAGTAGCCTCGCCCCAGTTCAGTAGCATTGCTTTTTCTCCACGGTCCTCGAACGTCAGGGTGATCGCTTGCTTGACAAGGCTCAAGGAGGCGCAGACTCGTCAATCCAACCTTTGTTTGGTTGATCCTTATCCAGTGATCTAGGCCTCGTCAGCCTTGTGACAGCAGGCTCGTCATTCAGGTGCAGGGATGGTTAGGTACTAGCTAGATCGTCGTTAAGCGTGTAGGATCGGATTATTGAGAGACGCATTCATACTGTGTGCGGCGCTTGCAGCGGATGAAGAAGATAGGGCGATGGTCAAAGCGGTCATCGTTGTGATGCAGCCGATAGCCAGGCCGCCAAAAACAGCCGGACCAATACTAGCTGACGCCCGGGATGGGGCCCTCGCAGGCAAGCTCGGAGTAAAATGCGCCGCGGTTGTCGTAGAGCTTCGTTGTCAATCCTGAGGAGTGCGAGGTAATGGCAGAAGCGCTTACTTCTGCTAGCTAATCACCTAATTCAATGCGGATGCTGGTCCGGAGCACGGTCATTATATAGTTTTCCTTGGTGGTGCATATCCACGCTGTCGAACCACCTTCCAGGAGGAGCTGTCCACAGCATGGTGCTCTACTCTGGCCGTAAAATGCATATTTAGATTAGTCGAGCACAACTGCTGAGCCAGGTCCCATGATCGTTAGAGCCTCACCAGTTCAATGTATTGGGTGGATCTTCGGTTACCACACAGGATGATAACTTAGTGTCGCAGGATTAAGAACTGGTATAGTCGCGACATGCTGTCGCGATGTTGGTGCGCTGGTATCGCAGGCAGCATTCAATGAAGGACTCAACCCGTGCACAGGTGCGTGAACTCTGGCAAGTAAGTGGCATACCTACCCGTGCTTAGGTCATGACCGCGTCGGATAACGGGAAACATCCACAACGCACGCTATAGGGGATATTGATGGAAAGGAGCTCCCTCGAACTCACCAAATCTCCAGAGAGAAAGCCACAAGTCTCCTTTGGTGCTGGTAGAAAAGTCGTTGTTGCCCGCGATTGAAGAACAGCTTCAGGGACCCAGTCTGCATCATATGGTGAGAGTCCCACTCCAGCGTACGCGAGCTGTGATATCGAGATCAGAACGAGCGCAAACAGATTCTCCAACTGTGTTCCTCGTGGTGTTCAACGAATGCCGACCTCCATCGCTTGTTTGAGGAAAGATAGAATATCTAACTTCTGGTAGAAACATGGGAAGTTTTACTACACGTGAGGAACCTAGAACAAACGTGCCTACCTGGAAACCCCAGATTCCAAAGAAGTATCATGAAGTCGTCGACCCGCTTCATGCACACATCGGCGTGTGGGCATTCATCGGGCCAAGGAACCTCGTATCAGGATGTTTGCCTGGGACGAGAGCGATCGGAGTGGTTGATTGGTCGAAAAGTGGACAAGGCTGGGCAGCTGAACTCTCCTAGTGGGGGCCGAAATCATCCCATTGGGGCTTACAATGTCTATTCTTGAGTGGGCGCGGTTGGCAGACGTGGCGGAATGCGAACCTAAGTGTATGGGCATATTTGATGACGGCCAAAGCCTCATGTTTATGGCACAAGCAAGGGATGCAACCACCTGAAGCACTATTTAGAGGAAGTAGAGTAAGTATGTTAGAAAAGGCTGCGGATTCCTGTTAGCTTCACAGCATCTTGGGAGCGGGATGAGTTAGCCCACTGCATACCCCGCCGACGCCCAGAAAATGCTGCCATAGTCAGCTTCCCGGTGAGTCCTTCCTGTAAGTGCCACTGCCTAGCCAAGGCAACCTAAATCTGTACTCTCTTCTTATGCTCAATAGGGTCCTCGGAAAGAAATGATGCTGTGATCGTCGAAGCAGGGCTTTCATGTCTGATTTCTTTTCTTCTAGCATCTCTTTCTCGCCATGGCATTGAGGGCCCAAATGGCGGCGAAGAATGGCTCGTCCGATATCTTTGAGCTTTCAACTCCATCATTACACTCTTCGGGAGACCCTTTGTGGACCGGAACCTCACTGGACAGACCAGAAACAGTTATTCCACGCCGCCAGGAACCGGGAAAGGTCCCCGACATCGGTCGCTACGGGTTCGGGGTTTTGCCACTCGGCACCCTTCTCATCGCGGGACAATTGCGTTCTTATGGTTCTTGTGGAAGGCAGACGACCAAAATAACTCTTGACGAAGGATCGTGGCCGAAGGACGCATCGCCCAGGCCATAGCGATGACGGCTCTTGTCATTCGATTTGCTGTGTTCGCGCAGGCAGCACTATGCACCTCTATTCTCGCAAATCTAGCATTGCAAAAATCTCATGTTACACTGCCGAACTTTGTGTCGATGGCTCTTTTGCAGTATCAGAACAATGGACCACACCAACTTGTCGTGGATTTTTTTGATTCCTGCAAGAGGGGGAAGGCTGTGATCGTCGGGCTTCTAGCAGTATTTCTCCTGTTAACGATCAGTGTTATGCAATTCACAACAATTCTGTTATCTGACTTGCAAATCAGCCCGAGAGCAGGCTTGGTGCGGAACACGTCAATTCCATCCACTCTGGACTGGGATGCTGGTATCTCTTCTCAAGCAACTTGGTTCGGAGAAGGGTACATGCTCCTGCCGCCAGCCCGGTATCCCGCTTTCGCCGAATACTCGGAAGTTGGGGAGGTTCGTAAAGCGATTGAAGTTGTGTGCGATACGGAGGTTGTAATGCGGGCGTTCATTGCGATATTGCAAAAGAGCTCGCAGGAGATGCTGCAGAGTGACGAGGGTAAAGCCACTGTTCTGGACTCTCGTGTCGTCTGTGGACACCCTGTAGTCAAATAAGCATCCCTGGACATGGCTAATATCGACGAATGCGCCGGTCCAAGAATCAGCGGGAACATTTCCATCGATCTAAGCTCAGTCCCGCGCTTCCGCTACCATGAAAACGACAAGAGAGCAAAGAACTTCAGTTGCAGTACAGCAGTTCTTAATGCACAGCGGCGCTCAGAGTGGTCGTTAATGGCTTGTCCCGTAACTCAAACAGCCGGCATTGTTTCAGCCACGGATAACATCGGTGAGGTCCTTGATCCAAACAGCGGTACACGGTATGGAATGAACACTTACATGCTGTATGGTGTGGGTCAACACGACAGGCACTTGGGTCGCTGGCTCAATTACTGTAAGCGACAGATGATCTTCGAAGATGATGACCGCGGACCGATTGTCTCGAATCTCAGGTTGGCATCTGAAGCAGACTACATTAGCAGGCGCGAATGGCTTAACATTCCCACGAACGACCCACTAGTGACCTTCTCGCTTTCTCTCTGCTACAGCGCTTTCAACGAGACCGTAATATCAGCGCTAGCAGTTGGCGCAATCGCACAGAGCCAAGCATCGAATGGGACTATGACAATCGCACATTTAGTACAGAAGGAATTCGTCTCCAAATGGGGACTGTTGGGCTCAACAAGACTGGTCCGTCGTCCAAGGTCAATGATACACTCGCAGAGCGAGGGATTCTCAGCCTCGCACGACCAGAGCCGGATTCTTCAAGCTCAAGCGCAAGGCGTGACGTCTGGGTCTCTAGTGCCAATATGAGGTTGGAATCGCGCACCAGGCAGGCAATCTTGTTGAATTCAAACCGGGGATGGAAGCATACCGCAATCACATTCTGCCTGGACTGCCAGCCCACTTTCGGAAACTCCTCTTCTATCCGTGCCACGAGGCGTGACACATCCAGCGGACTGTTCTCACGCCACCCGCATCATCTGAGCTTGGTGAGTACGACACTCGATGCCACGGGACATCTTGGTGCTGCAGAGCGTGTTCACCAATTTGTTCTCGATGGCATACTACGACCTCGCCCTGAAATTTGATTCGAGGGAAAAGATTCACTTAAGTAGTTTCGTGGTGGCATTGAGACCGGTGACGTGGAAGGCATTCGCAAGTGTAATTGTGCTTCTAATAGTCCATCTGGCTCTCGTAGATTGCGTGATTATTCTTTTCGCAAGCCAAGGCAAGGTGTGATTGAGTAGGCTGGGCGGGCGTAAATCAACTTCGAAGGGACTCGTTGAGTGCGCGGATTGATAGCCCGGTGAGGGGAAATAGAGATAGAAGGGTGGGAGAGGAGATGAAGCGTCTGGGAGAGGCAAGGAAATGGGTTGGTTTTGGGGTGAAAGAGCGCATCGAGGTTCAAACAGAGAAGACGTCGAGCTATGCAGGACATAAATGACGTTCGCCCGGAGTAAAGCGGCATAGAAGCCATGACCGGCTCGGCGGAGAGAACCAGCCCGACATTCAACCGGCTGCCTCCTTGTTCCATCTAATTTCCCCCTTTCAAACATATTTGGCTTGTATAGAAATCTTGGAAAGTAGTTATATGGGGGTTATATAAAGATACATATACATACGCAGAATATATCTCGCTCTCGATCCAAGAGCCTGCCGCGAGCCTCAAGACGCACCGCGGTTCAGTCTACGCCATCATGGGTGAGAGCGCCTCATCAACTACGTCGTCGCCAGACTGGACCCAGCTACAGTTCGACACGACCCCCGTTGATCTCCGCAAATACCTCGAGACGCACCGCGACGCGCATCTGCAATCGGACGCCGAGGCGTGCATAAACGAATTGGGCGCTCTCGCGTGGGAGTACTGGGAACCAGACTGCTACGAGAGCCTGTTGCGATTGGCTCCTTGGCTAGTTGGCTTCACGGTCGAGAACGGGGATCTCGCTCCAGCGGGCCGTGCGTTGGCCGTGTTGCCAAATCTATGCACGCGGATTCTTCTCCGGCTGGATGTAATTCTGTCGAACTGGCTGATTACATCGGTTTTCAAGACATGGCTCCTAGGTTTTAGGAGACGAGTGTCTCCTAGCATGACAGTTGAGAGACCCGCCAGCCCGCGGGATGAGATCATCTGTTTCCTACGTGACGGTCCAATTTCACCCGGTAATTTCAGTTCTTTATGGTACCAGCTGCTGCAGAGCTACTCCGATTTTGGCAAACAGTCGATTTACCAGTTATTCTCGACCAAGGTGGCAGATTTTTGTCTTGAGGCTGGATGTCCTGCCGTCACACGCAACCCTTCTGCAGATATATACTCACTCAGAAAACATTTGTTCTCAAACGACTCAGCAGCCCGCGAAGCCGAGCTTCGAAAGGAAATCGATGACCTCCGGAACGCGAACCGTTCACAGCAGCGGATAATCACAAACCTGGCTTTTCGACATCTTTTGGAGGCGCTGCCTGCGCGTGATGCAAAAGCAGCGACGAGCGCAACGGCGGCGTGGACCGCCTTCTTCCAAACCGCCTTGAAGGAGGCGCAGAAACAGCTCGAACAGGGCAAGTTGGACCACCCACTCATTCCAGTCTTGAAGAAGTACCCCAAGGTGAAGCAGATCGAGAACGTCGGGACGAATCTCTACGGCACTCTGAGCACCAACATTCACCACTTTTCAGGCCAGTACAAGGTCCTCGACGATCAGTGGAACGCGCTCGAGGTGGATATACTGAGGGCGATCACGCCCCTGGCCGAAAATGAGACGGAGGCTGGGATAGACTGGCGGACGGAAAGACTACGCTATTGGACGGGCACTTCGAATAGATAGTTATATGGGTTTGGCTGATTTCGCTGCTCGGCTAGTTCGAGACGTATCAAAAGATACCTCATGTCTCGTGTTTCGCGGTATGTATGGGCAGTGCCTTTCCGTAAACAAGGTATTTCTTGTCAGCACACTCTTGTCTTCTGCGTCCCAGGATGCTCCGACTGGAACAGCATGGGATCCGTCACGGGAGATATGGCTGAAGCTCGGCGCAAGAGACGCAAACAAAGCCGCAAATGCTGCCAGGAATCAAGCCAAAGGTCTACTCCCACCGAATACCAGATGAGAAAGGAAGCCCGATCCAAGACAATAGTCCACGGGGGGGAGCCTATCCTCTTCTCCCAAGGGCAATCAGCACATCAACCAGACCGACCGTCCCACGCACACGTTCCGCCTACCCAGCATCCATCCTCCTCCAGCAGCACGTTGATCCGAGACTGGTACCCCATCGCTCTGCCCTGGTGTACCACGGCCTCCTGTCCCATGCGCAGCACCCCGTTGTCTGCAAGCGCATATGCCAACGCCGCGGCCGCGATCCCCGTCGCCGCGTCCTCGGGATACCCTGAGGCCTTGGGGAACTGGCGCGCTTCGACCTCCAGGACAGGGTGTTGGCCGGCCCTGTCTCCGCCAGCGGCAGCGGCGGCGGCGTTGTTTTTGCCTTGTACAATCGCATACGGGTAGAGGCCCGTAGACCCCAACCTCTCACAAAGACCCCGGACGCGCGAGAAATCAGGTTTTAGGGCATTCACGACGGCTGCATCGCGCAGTGCAATCGCCGTCTTGACCCGGCTGGTGCATGCGTTCTGAACCGCCCGCGGCGTAGTCTGTAGTTGGGACTCGGAGATGCCCAGCACGGAGAGGATCTCTTCAACCATCGTCTGGTCCACGATGTCTGCTACCGTGCCTGCCGGCTGAGACACAAACACCTGCGTCGTCCTTCCCTGGCCGTCTTCTCCTTTTCTCTCCATACGTCGCGTTCGCACCCGGCCAGACTTGGTCATGAAGGTGATCTCCATCCTGTTCGCCCCGACAACGCCCAGCTCGTGCATGACCCAGGCCGTGCCGACAGTGGCGTGTCCGCACATTTCCATCTCGTGCTCCGGCACAAAGAATCGCAAGTGGAAATCAACATTGCCATCATCGTCGCCGGGTTCGTCTTCCCGCCGTTTCGGCGTTACGAACGAGCTCTCCCGCCCGTGCTTGCGCGCAGCGCCTTGCATGTCCTCGTCCGTCAGGCCCTCGGCGTGAAGAACGATGGGTGCGAGGTTCCCTCCACATCCATCTTCATCCGACGTGAACACGTTGACGTGGTGCACTTGTTTTTGTGTATTGTCTCGGCTCTTGCTCGTCATGGTGGAGTTCGAAAATCCTTCGTGGGCTGTGTATAGATTAGCACGTATCATGTACCATGTACGCGGCTACAAAAGAGGGAGACCGATGCCGGGAAGAAAGAAGGTGAATGTCTTTCAGGAGAAGAGGTAGGTATGTGTATGAATATATATATGCCTTGGAAATAGATACTCTGGCACTCACCATCCACCAGTCATCTCTGAAAATTATTTAGTTTTTCACATTTCGCTGCTGGGGACACATATATCCATCGATCCATCAATATCTGTGGGATGTTCCAACGTGTACATGCACGAACCCGTTTACACCGAACGCTCCATTTTCCCTCCCACCATGTTTCTGCGTGCGTTTCGTCGGTCCGCCCTATGATCACTTCCACAGCGGCCTGCTATTGGCTGGCCCTGCTCACTTAGGTAAGGAGGAATAATACCACCATCACGAATGCTATCTCACTCAACGAGGGACAACTCTCTGAAGAGGAAACTAGAAAGCCTGTGATCATTTGTGGAACTGTCCAAACACGACGCAAAATACGGTTGGGCGTGAATCGCAACCCTCTGGATATCCTGCATTCCGAAGTAGGTCCTCACGGCACTCTCCGCATTGAAGGAGTGCATTCTTCAGTGCCGGCAAGTTTTGTAGCTCCTTATAGTCCCCTAAGTATTTCTTCCCATCCACTATCGTGCGTTGCTCGGTGAGAAGCGGAGTTCCTATCCGGTTGTCGAACTAAGTTTCAACTACGGTCGAACCAGGGGGTGAACTCGCTCGTGGATATGATGCCCATGTTCTCGAATGCCGCCACATCCTTAACGCTCATAATGTTGGCATCGTAGTTGGCTGTGGGGCGTTGATCCACGGCTGCGACCGAACGTAAGTAATGAGATTCAGATGTTATGATAACTTCACTTACTCAGTCCGGGTCCTTGCCGCCCCAAGCTGCGTCTAGGAGGCTAAACACAGCCTTCTCCCAGCTTACCGTGGCGGCCGATTTCAGGGTGAGTATTCGTCCCGAATGATCCCAATAAAGGGGTTCGCCAGCCACCCACAAGCACAGCTTGACTTTCCAGGGCCTTTTTGCTGCAGGACCGAGCATCGTGGATCTCGCGAAACATTTGTGGTACTTGTTTCCGTCCCAGAGTAGCCCCGATAGCCTCCTGAATGGGCACCGCGATCCCGTTCTTAACGACACGCCAGTTCTTCGATGGAGCAATCGTTGGCGCCCAGCTCGGAATGTCGGAACCAATAAGAGTATCGCCTCCGGTGGCACTCAGTGCCAGATAGGACGAACTCGACGAGTTGACATAGTCCATCCCGGCTGATGTCTCATCTATGCCTTTCTCTCCGGCGTATTGAGCACTAATCGCAGCATAAGGTACGTTGACCTTGGCTCCAACCGCCCATCGGATCGTACCTGGCTGCTTTGTGTTATTCTAACGATCTAGAGCGCCGGCGAAGTTGGTCGTCTTCTGCTGTCCGCCAAGCAGCCCAGACCTCAAACACGTGGCCGAACCGCTGGTAGAATTTCTGCAGTGAAGAAAACGATAATTGTAGCTGAAGTTGTCGAAGCTCCTTTGCACAAGCTTCAGATACCTTCATTTCATCCTCGTCCAAGAATAGCCTTGCACGAGGATGAATATAGGCAGCGTAATACTCCTGATCTTGTGATTCGTGCAGACTTCGTTCATCTTAATCTTCTCACCTTCGTGGCGGCGAAACACTGGTCCGACATCGACACCTAAGTCGGCTGCTGATAGATTAGTTTCGATACCTCGCTTGGAGAATGAGTTGTGTGCTAGAGAGCATTGGAGATCATTCCTCGTCTCATACACTTCGACTAAGGCACCATCCCTGACCTGAAAGCAAGGCTTTTGAGTCTCGGGCGTGTTTCCTGGCTCTATAATGACATCAAAAGCGTTTTAGCGGGCGCGGACGACACCCTGGTTTCCTTGTCGTATCTAGAATCCGTGTAGCAGCCTGATTCATCCGTAGGACTTTGCCCAGTCAGCTACACAGAGGTCGGTAGCGTTCCTGTCGTCGTGAGAGGGGATCTTCCACTGAAGGCAGCCATGCAGTCCAGCTGGCGATTCGGATAGGGATGGGAGCATGGAAGGACAGGAACGAGGGAGCTGTTGCTATCAGGCTGAAGACGTTCAAATTGGCTTGTGTAACCATGCCCAACATTCCTCGAGGCGCTTGACCCCTTGCATCACACTTTGCTGAATGAATGTTTAGTGCTTTACTCAATTGGTCAACTATTACTAGCACAGTTTTACGGCTATACTTCTCGGTATGGATAGAATAACGATACCTCTAATTGTGATCCTGCGGATGGTAATAAGCGAGAGAAAGCCTTGGAAGTTGTAGTAGCATTAATGTATATGGCTTGGTGCTTACTTGACCAGCGGATGCGATATACCAAGATGTCCCGAGCTTCAGCAAGGGAAGCTCTTGCCCAAGGTAACATATCTAGTTTATGACGAACAACTACACTGGATGGCCCTCTGAAATCTAGGCACATCACCACAATATTTCTTCTCAATCTCCTCATTCCAGCACCACCCATCCTCGAACGGAGCCAGTGTCATCTCCATGACTCCCTTCAGGATATCTCTTTCTTTCTTGTTCTGTACTCGGTCGATAATGTCATCCAGTAACCACCCTCTGGGCACGAAGTTGGGATTGACGCTCTTCATGAGCTTCTCTCGCTGATCATCTGCTGCGGAAGCCGTGGTCTCGTCAGTGATATCCCAATCCTCAACCACCCGCTCGCGCCAGGAGTCAAGCCATTGTCCGACCTTTTCGCGCCCAGATTCGACTGATTCATTCAGACCAGTGACGCCCTCTCGGTGAAAGAATCTCTCGGCTGTGCTTTCACGTTTTTCTTTCGTGATGACGTCGTCCATTTTCACCGAGGACAGGCGACGGAAAAAGTGGTTGAAGTCAAGCTCTAAGGCTTCCATTGTATCGAGCAGTTCTGAGAACAGCTTCTCAAAATCACTCTCTCTTTGAGTCTTCAAACCTAGTCGCACCGTCATCAGACGGCGATACTCGCTCAGGAAGACCGCCTTGTACTCGTCTGAGATCTGGTCAATTATGGTCTCGGCGCGCTTGATTAGGATGGGTGCGAAATCTTCATGCACACCCTTTTCAACAAATGTTTCGTCGTCAACTTTATCCCCAGCACCAATCAATTCACCGAGGGCCTCGCCCAGACGAACAAGGTTCCACCAGAAAATGCTCGGTTGTGCGCGGTAGCTGTATCTCAGCATATGGTCGTCGTGGTTGGGTGTGTAGGCAGGATCAAAGTTGTCCATAAAGGCAAATGGCCCATAATCGAGCGATAGACCATAGATCGACGTGTTGTCAGTGTTGAGCACCCCATTCATGAATCCATATGCCTGCATCATGCCCACAAGCCTGGCATTTCTTCGCACGATTTCGCGATAAACTCTGGTAAAACGATTCTCTTCGGCGCCTTCTTTGCCTTGGATCTCGTCTTTGGGAACGCCTCTTGCCGGATCGAGATGAGCGTGCGCAGTGTCAGCTGGCAAGGCAGCTGGCAGCTTGTCCCACCCGCCAAAGACATCTTCAGCAATGTAGGTCGCAGTCTTGCGAATCAAATCCCGGTCACCTCTTGATCGCATGAGATCAAATGTGCCTAGTCTCAGCCACGTTTGAGCAAAGCGGCAGACAATCGCACCAGGTTCAAGACGTTCTCTGACGACCTCGGATTTGGGACACAGCGTCAATGATAGAGCCCTAGTGGTAGGTATGCCAATGGCATTGAGATATTCCGACACAACAAACTCTCTGATACTCGATCTCAAAACGGCCTTGCCGTCGGCAAAGCGCGAGTAGGGTGTTTTGCCCGCACCCTTCAGTTGTAACTCATAGCGGACCTGGGTCTTTGGATTTGTTGTCTCAAATAGCGAAATAGCGCGGCCATCACCTAGTTGTCCGGCCCAGGAGCCGAACTGGAAGCCGCCGTAGCACTGCGCCCAGGGATATACACCGCCCTTCTCTTCATCCCAGTAAAACTTATTGCCTGCGACGACCTGTTTGAATTCTTCAGATGATGCTTCGCTTGCGGCGAGGCCAATATCGCGTAGTGCGGCTTTGCTGACTGCCAGGAGTTCGGGTTCTTCGGTCGGCTCAGGTCTGACAAATGTGTATAGCGCCCCTCGCACCATACGAGGACCCAGTTTCTGTCGAGGGGCTTTGTGAGAGTCGATCGGCGTGGGATACTGCGGGTCTGGAGGGAGTTTCGAGGTGAAAGTGTTCGATTTCGGTATATCTGCTAGTGTAGCCGTGGCATCAGATTCGTCGTTGGTGTGTGAGCCATTGGTATGGCCATTCGTAATATGGGAGGACATCTGGGCGAGTCTCATCCGCGTAACGGGAGCGGGGTTATGATATGGTCGAGGCGCTTTTGGATGAGACAGACGAGAAATGCGTCGGAGGAGCATGCAGAAGGTGGTAGTGAAGACGGCGAGGGCGAAGATATTGACGAGGACGGGGAGGCTGATATAACTTGAATAATTTGAAATCCTGGTCGTGTCGTGCATCGTCATCTTGACAGGCCTGACGGCAAATCGAGCCATTGACAAATAATGCGGAGGGAGATTTTCCTGATGTCATGTTTGGAGAAGCGCATTTCGGCGGAGCATTCGGCCGCCGAGCAGGTTCCGGCGGATCATAGGTCATCATTCCAGTATGATGAAAAGGCTACTCCGTTCGTCCGTACTCATGTCCGTAGGTATATACTTCGACATCAAGGAGACGGCCGCCTGCTCCAATGCAGTATGTTACCATGCAAAACCCATAGACTGATGCACCTTTCACTCCTCGAGTCCCCCCCTAAGCCACGCCAAACCCATCAAGGTCATATCGTTCCTTATCACTCATCACCATTAACATGCTTTGCAAAATACATCGCCTCATCTGTCGGCCCTCATGAATGATAGAAACAGTTCATCGTCCCTCGTCATCCGCATCTGCTTTCGCAGCGTCGCTGTCATCAGCAACCTTGGCTTTGGACTTCCTCCTCCGACTACGTCCACCGTTGACAGTGGCCACGGTTGATGTCTTGTCCTCGATCGCTTCCGGGTCGGGCGAGGTTGGTGGGGATGAGAAAGTTCCCATCTCTTCTTCCATCTTCTCCTTCAAAGCCCTGAGGCCTGCGATCTCATCTTCTCTGGACTTCAGTTCGGCTTGCAGCGTTTTAAGCTCCTGAGCAGCTTGCTCCGATTGTTGCTTGAATTCTTGCTCTCGACTCTCGAGGTGCTTGGCTGCCTCTTCCTTCGAGGACTCCGTCGATGTCTTCAGCGCCTCGATCTCTTCTTTTAAAGAAGTAAGCTTAGCCTCGGTGTCTTTTAGCTGCTCCTCGGCTTCATCCTTTCTGGTGGTCAGTTCTTGGATGACTTGCTCTCTGGCGTCCAAATCTTCCGACATCTTGCCGATGTCAATTGCTTGAGCCTTGAGGGCCTCGAGCTCGACTTCGAGCTCTTTCAAGTGACCATTGGATTCATCCTCAGCCTTCCTGGCAGCCTCGAGGTTTGCTTCCATCTCCTTAAGCTGGCTTTCGAGTTCCGACTTGGAGGCAAGCGCAGCGCTCAGGTCGGTCTCTTTAGCTTCAAGGTCCTTGGCTGACTGCTCGGTAACGCTGACCTTCTCCTGTTGGACAGCCTCAAGCTCTCTCTGGATTTCCGCCAACCTGTCTCTCACTGTTTGGAGCTCTTGCTCAGTATTGGTTCTGTCGTCCTCGGCCTGTTTCACCTTTCCCTCCAACTCGGCCTTGGCGGCCTCGGTTTCCGTAACGCGCTGCTCAGCAGCTGCCGTGGCGCTTTCTGCCTCACCAAGCTTGGACTCGAGTGAAGCTTTGGCCTCTTCAGCGATCTCCATTTCCTTCTTGATCTCTGCAAGCGCATCTTCGGCCGATTTCTGTTCGGCTAAAGCTGCGGCAAGCTCGGCTTCCAGTTCTTTTCTCGCCTTGACCGCCTCCTCCTCAGCCGCAAGCTTATTAGCTTGCGCGTCGGCCAGTTTCTGCTCAAAATCACTGGTTAAGGCATCAGCGTCAGCTTGTGATTTGGACAGCGCCTCTTGGGCAGCTTTCAGGGCATTCTCTGCCTCAACAAGCTTCTCATCCATTTCAGTCTTGGATTGGTCTGCATCTGCACGAACCTTTTCTAGCAATTCCTGGGCCTCCTGGTGGGAAGCATCAGAAGCGGCCAATTTCGCTTCGAGTTCCGCCACAGACGCGGCTGCCTCTTCTTTTGCCTTTTCGAGAGCTTCCTTGGTGGACGAGAGTTCC